AGGTCTGTGTCTTTATTCCTGTCTTACCCCTAGGTTCTTCATGACATTTTTTTTTCTTAAATTCCATATATATGTGTTAGCATACAGTATTTGTCTTTTTCTTTCTGACTTACTTCACTCTGTATGACAGACTCTAGGTCTACCCACCTCATTACAAATAGCTCAATTTCGTTTCTTTTTATGGCTGAGTAATATTCCATTGTATATATGTGCCACATCTTCTTTATCCATTCATCCGATGATGGGCACTTAGGTTGTTTCCATCTCCGGGCTATTGTAAATAGAGCTGCAACGAACATTTTGGTACATGACTCTTTTTGAATTTTGGTTTTCTCAGGGTATATGCCCAGTAGGGGGATTGCTGGGTCATACGGCAGTTCTATTTGTAGTTTTTTAAGGAACGTCCATGCTGTTCTCCACAGTGGCTGTACCAATTCACATTCCCACCAGCAGTGCAAGAGTGTTCCCTTTTCTCCGCACCCTCTCCAGCATTTATTGTTTCTAGATTTTTTGATGATGGCCATTCTGACTGGTGTGAGGTGATATCTCATTGTAGTTTTGATTTGCATTTCTCTAATGATTAATGATGTTGAGCATTCTTTCATGTGTTTGTTGGCAGTCTATATCTTCTTTGGAGAAATGTCTATTTAGGTCTTCTGCCCATTTTTGGATTGGGTTGTTTGTTTTTTTGTTATTGAGCTGCATGAGCTGCTTGTAAATTTTGGAGATTAATCCTTTGTCAGTTGCTTCATTTGCAAATATTTTCTCCCGTTCTGAGGGTTGTCTTTTCATCTTGTTTATGGTGTCCTTTGCTGTGCAAAAGCTTTGAAGTTTCATTAGGTCCCATTTGTTTATTTTTGTTTTTATTTCCATTTCTCTAGGAGGTGGGTCAGAAAGGATCTTGCTGTGATTTATGTCATAGAGTGTTCTGCCTATGTTTTCTTCTAAGAGTTCGATAGTTTCTGGCCTTATTTAGGTCTTTAATCCATTTTGAGCTTATTTTTGTGTATGGTGTTAGGGAGTGATCTAATCTCATACTTTTACATGTACCTCTCCACTTTTCCCAGCACCACTTATTGAAGAGGCCGCCATTTCTCCACTGTACATTCCTGCCTCCTTTATCAAAGATAAGGTGACCATATGTGTGTGGGTTCATCTCTGGGCTTTCTATCCTGTTCCACTGATCTATCTGTCTGTTTTTGTGCCAGTACCATACTGTCTTGATTACTGTAGCTTTGTAGTATAGTCTGAAGTCAGGGAGCCTGATTCCTCCAGCTCTGTTTTTCATTCTCAAGATTGCTTTGGCTATTCGGGGTCTTTTGTGTTTCCATACAAATTGTGAAATTTTTTGTTCTAGTTCTGTGAAAAATGCCAGTGGTAGTTTGATAGGGATTGCATTGAATCTGTAGATTGCTTTGGGTAGTAGAGTCATTTTCACAATGTTGATTCTTCCAATCCACGAACATGGTATATCTCTCCATCTATTTGTATCATCTTTAATTTCTTTCATCAGTGTCTTATAATTTTCTGCATACAGGTCTTTTGTCTCCTTAGGTAGGTTTATTCCTAGATATTTTATTCTTTTTGTTGCAATGGTAAATGGAAGTGTTTTCTTGATTTCACTTTCAGATTTTTCATCATTAGTATATAGGAATGCCAGAGATTTTTAAATCCTTTTTAAAAGGTGTATATGGGCATGTCATAAATAACTAAAACATAAAAAGAGGTAGTATAATATATTCTCCCCATGGAAATTATCTTTTCAAATATATTTCCTTAAGATGCAAAATTACAGAATATTCTTGGCCCCCTCATCAAAGATTAGTTGACCGTTACATGTGTGAGTTTACTTCTGGGCTCTCTGTTCTGTTCCATTGGACTATGTGTCTGCTTTTCTGGTGGTACCATACTGTTTTGATTACTATAGCTTTATAGAAAGTGACAGAATAATTAAAATTTAGTTCTGCTATCTTTATGTACTTAGTATTTCCCATTTAAGGTGAAGAAGGACTAATATATAGTTTTGCCCTCAGCCTCATATATTTTTCATTTAGAAGTTACAATGCTGACTGGGATGGGGTGTTAGATTCTCAGCTCCAAAGAATAATTGTAAGGGCCTGCTGGAACATCAGGTGATCCCACATCATCTGTGGCCACCTACTCAGTGGATGGATGCCTCCTTTTGTGTACCTCTAGGTCATGAAGGGACTACTGGTGTGGTATTTGTACATAGGGAAGGTGGAGTGTTTTTCATTTTATATTTTAAGTAAAAATATTATCAGCAATAAAAACTTCACTTTAAATTGACATGATAAATATTTACCAACCATTGTTTTCTGTGTCTGATAAACAGATGACTAAATCGGGTAGAATTCCTTTGTTGACTAAGACCATCCACAGTTCTTTCATAATAGGGTAGTTGTCCAGTATCCATCCTCCATACTTTGGGGCACCATAAAACCTATTCTTGTTTTCTTCAACTACCTGTGAAAAACAGCAAACTGAAATTACCATCATATCTACCCAAGTAAAGGATGCTACCTTGATATATTACTTTTGTGGACCTTAATCAAGTATCTTTTGAGTTTTTCTGACTTTCAGAAGGAAATAAAAAGAGCCACTTAATTTTAAAAGAGAAACTTAATTTTAAAGCAATAAAGCTATAAGTTTTAAAAGTTAAGAACAGGAAGCAAAAGCCTTTCTTAAATAAATATAACAATACATGCTTACTATATGTTATTCAGTATTACAGAATCCAAATCCTGATTCAGAAGGTCTAGGGTAAGGCCCAAGAGTCTGTATTTCTAACATGCTCTCAGGTGACAATGGTCCTTGGTCCACTCTTTGAGTAGCAAGGTCCTAGCCCAGTTTGCCTTTTTTAGTGACAATGCTCTTCACTTCCCTTTTGCTTTTCAGCCTTCAATGTGAAAGGCTTCTACCTGCCACCCAATAATAATAACTTCAACACAAGTATGGAGATTAGATGTGGATCTATGAATATACCAATTCTGAAGGTTTTAAACAAGTCTGTGGGCCATCAGGAAATCACAGAATATTAGAAGCCAAAGGGGAAGAAATCTCAAGAAGACTGGTGTAACTCTCTGGCCTATGTAGAATTTAAGATTACCTGCTTTTTGAATTTCCATCTGAATGAAGAGTATTTTGAAAAAAAGAATTTTAACACTTTGAAATGTTTCACATAATAGAATTGGGGGAAAAAAGCTATAATGAAGAAGTATAAGTGAAATAAGTTAGAGAAAGACAAATACTACATGATCTCACTTATTTGTGGAATCTAGAAAAACCAAATTCATAGAAACAGAGAACAGATTGGTGATTGCCAGAGACAGGGCTGGAGGTGGGGAAATGGGTGAAGGTGGTCAAAAGGTACAAACATCCAGTTATAAGATAAATAAATCCTAATCATGTAATGTACAGCATGGTGACTATAGTTAATAATATTGTAGCGTATATTTGAAGGTTGCTAAGAGAGTAGATCTTAAAAGTTCTCACCACACACACACACACACACACACACATACACAAATGTAACTATGTGAGGTGACCATGTTAACTAAACTTATTGTAGTAATCATTTTGCAATATATACAAATATCAAATCATTATGTTGTACATTTTAAATGAATACAATCTTATATGTCAATTATATATCAATAAAACTGGAAACAATATAAATGGTTAATAAAAAATTTTACTAAGTTTCAAAGATATGAAAATTAAAACAACATCAACATATAATTTATAGTTTCCCTATCTCATTCAATTTTTTTGAAAAAAATTTAATGGCTTCATAGTATTTAGTCAAATGAATAAACCCTAATTTGTTTAATCATCCTCTTCATGTTAAACATTTATATAACTTATAATTTTATTATAACATTGTGATATGATGGACATCTGCATATATAAATCTTTGTCTAAGTATATATTTCTTTAGGTTAGATTCCTATAAAAAGTGTTTTTAGGTCAAAAGGAATAAAGGAATGAACATTTTAAAGGCTTTTTATATACATTGTCATGTTGCTTCCATAATGTCTACAACAATTTTCACTCCTATGTGACTATATCATTACAGCCTCACTAGTATGGATTGTTATAAGTTTTAAAAAATCTTTGCCAATTTGACAGGTAAGAAATTGTCTTTTTTCATATTTTTATTGACACTTGAACATTAAAATTTTTCAGTTAACCATTTGTATTTCTTCTTTGATGAAATAATCTGTTTACGTCTTTGTCTGTTTTTTACATTGGTATTAGATTTTCCTTGATTTGTAAGAAATCTTTATAATGAGGAATTCATGTGTCATATTTATTATAAATACTTTCCCCAGTTTGATGTTTGCTTTAAAATTTTGATTTTCATGGTATATTTTTTAAGGAAAGGGAATCATTGTTAAGTAGCATCTTCATTGAGATTTTGCTCTAAGAGTTCTTCCATGGCATTTGTGCCTAGAGTACTTGACCATTCTAAGATCATTTCAATATCACTACACTTTCTTCTAGGTAAAAACATGCCATTTTTACATTTAACAATTAATACGGAATTAATTTTGATATAAGCTGAGAATCTAAATTGTTTTTATCCTAGCAGTTAATTTTATCAACACTATTAAATAATTCTTCCTTTCCTTTTGGGTTGTGATGTAAACCTTAGTATACACTCAGCTTTTATCTATACTGAGGTCTGTTTCTGTGCCTGCTCTGTGGTTCTGTTAGTTCTTGTATGATTATCAGGCTTATAAACCACTGTAACATCACATTTTACTAGTTGGTAGAGCAAGTCTCTCTGTGTTATACTTTGCCAGACTGTTCTTACCAATTCTCAACTATTGGTTCTCCCAAATAAATTTTAGAGACATTTGTTAGTTTTCAAAATACATTGACATTTTTATTATAATTGCATCAAATCTATAAACTAATTTAAGAAAGATACCTTAATAAGATTTTGTCTTTACATGTAAGAAATTAGTAATGACCTACTTTTTAAAAATAGGTTTCCTACTCAGAGATCATGAAAACTGATGACAGGTAGAACAGTGTCCTGCATTGGTCTCTGTTCTCTTGAAAAAGACAACCTGATATGAGCTTTGATGTTAAAATCTCACGTGATTTAAACTCCCCCACAATCCCAGACTCACAGTTTACCATCTATTGACACTACTCATATTACTACATCAGAAGTGTTTTAGTAGTACTCCCTGTAGATTTGTATCCTCCAGAATAAACTCTGGAAAGAATGGAGCAAATTATCAGTGAAGGGCAAGGATGGGATGTTCACAGCGCTAAAGACATCCCTGACTTGGATATCTCCTCCTTTGGGATCCTCTGTCTCACCTCCCAGGATGAGATAATAGCCTTGACCTTCCTGACATTCCTATACCTTGTACATATCTAGTTACCACTTAGCACATGAGAGTTAATTATTGGATCCTATGTCAGCCTTTCCTACCTGACTGATAGCTCCTTAACGGAAAGAGCTATGTTTAAATCATCTTTGTGTCCCCAGGCTCTAGCACAGTAGGTACTCAGAATGTTTCTGAAGAAATAAATTGATGACAGAACAACCTGAAGAGATACAGAAGTTGAAAGATCTCTTTGGGAAGCTCAGAGGGGGATAACAACTTGCCTCGGGTAGAGCCTGGGGCTCAAGGATTTCACCCAATGTGTTACAGAGTGGTTCTATACTCTCAGAGAACATTTTTTTTCTTCTCATGATTTTAAATTACATCATTTTCAAATTACAGAGAAATACATAAGTTCATCGAATGACCAAAACTGATTTGTTCTCTTTAACTTTTGCTCTGAACGCTTACCCAAGCACTCTGTACAAAACAGATCCATATGGTCTTTATAAGCCTTCTGATTTGATATGGGTAGGACATAGTACCTGAGGCTTTATTTTTCCCTTAGATTGGAAAATCCGTGGTGTGTCCATCCATCTCCCCCATGAACATGTTCAAGGTGGCTGGATGAAATTAGTTAGCTAGGGAGCAAAATTTGTCTTGGTTTACAAATAACTGGCTCATAGATGAAAAAGTAACTTTGGTACTTGCTTCATATAAACTATCTTTTAACCAACTGGACTGAATTAAAGACAATAAAAGTTAATGAAGAATAAATGTCAAAGCTATGAAATTGTATTGCACATTTGTTGATAATTATTGAAAATTTATAAGCAACTGTTCACTGGGGTACATTACACATAACAATGTTGACTGTAAAATGCACATGAATTTGAAGGCTACAGATTTCAACACTGTCATACAGGATTCTAAAATAATTGTACATATACTAGGTTAACATTTTCTCAGTTACTGTGAAATCAATGATAAAAATAAAGAGCCTGGATTTCTTACCTCTTGGAGAACTTCGTCTAAGATTTCAGCAATTTTTTCATGTGGCTGTTCAAAGTTCATGTCCTTTGCCATTTTTACCGTCTCCTTTATTATGGAAAGAACTTCTGGATGATCTGCAGTTACCTCCTCTATCACATATTCTATTACATCTAAAGTAAAATAAATCAATAAATTAATGCCATTAATAATTTTAGTAAACAATGCTATTTGCATTAGAACATGATTGTAAATACCTAACCCAAGGAAGTACTCTTTGTGTTCCTGCAGCACATGCCCGAAAAAGGGAGAAATAGACTGGACGGGAAATAAGTCAGGAATCACAAAATAACAGAGCAGTGGCTTAAAGCCAGTGCATCAGAATGAAAGTGAATGAGGCCTGAAAAAAGTCATGTCAGGCAGGAGTCAAAACTCAGGAAGCCAGGGAGAAGACGTAGGAAACAAAGGCTTCCAGGGGTCAGGCTAAAACTTGGGCATCTAGGGAATGAGTCAGAAAACAAAATAAATACTTCCAATTATAAGCATGAAACTAAATGGGACAATAAGAGGACGGGAGGTAGGCAAGTTGGAGGGGATGGAAGAAAGGGTGGCATAGGATGGTTTTTGAAGTGTTAAGACTTGATTCTTGTCTCATTGTGTGCTGAATGTTTCCTTACACGACTGAGCTGGCTCACAGGCTGCACCATGATGTAAACATTCATCCACTCCTGTAATGGGACATGAGATTGGCAGCTCCACCTGACTCCTCTACCTCTGCCTTTCCAATAGTGCCTCCTGAGCTGCCCCAAGGCTCTATCCATCAGGGTCTCATGCCAGAGTCCAATTGATCCTTGCCCAGAAAAACCCCAAAGGACCTTTGAAGAGCAGCTGCCTGCTGCTATCCCTGTCGTAAAGTGAGAATCTGTTCTCAGGGATAGAGAGAGCCAGCAGTTTCTGGAGAGCCAGAGTGGAAGAGGCAGGAACCCAAGATCTTCCGATAGCCAGGGAAAGAGGACATGAGGAGGCAGAAATAGCCAGGCAAAGGTACTACATGTGCCAGAAGATGCTAGTGGTCTATCCAATATCTGGTCTCCTTTTCCTTAGTAACAGAACCCTGATTTTGTTAGGGTCAGCCATGTGCCTAGCTAAAAACACTACATCTCCTAACTTCCCTTATAGTTTGGATGGCTGGTAGATAAGATGCAAGAAAAATTTGGGAAGGGGAGGCGGTGAGTCTTCTTGTTTTCTATTTAAAGAGGAACAACTCAGCTGGATGGAATGCCAATTTTTTGTCCCTTGTCTTTTCCCTTTTCCTGCACACTGATATGATGGCTGGCGTGCTAGCAGCCATCTTGTGAATTATTACAGTAGCCACATGCCAGGAATGGCAGAAAAAATAGATCTCCTATCTTCTCAATATTCTTGTTCACAAAAACAATATATCACATGTTCTTTTTTCTGTGTTCCTGCATGTCTAACTGTTCATATTATAGTAGCCTTTAAGATAAAGTAAGTGGATATTAATAATACTTTAAAAAAAAAAGCCACACACACGTTACTCCTTCAAAATTCTAAAGGAACTATTTGTGATTTTTATATCCACAGTCTAAGAGAACCAAATTACCCAAATGTTAATTTACCTTTTTTTGAATCCAACATTAGATCTTGACTAGAGTCTTGTTGACTTCTTTGAAGTGTAGACATTTCACTTGTTTCTTTTTCATCTGTGAATAAAACTCTGTTAACACGTAAAGAACAGTATTTAAAGTGTAGGTGAATCCCAAAGAAGATTGTGGTATGGGCCCAGGGACCCAGGACTCATGTTCCCAATTTCTTAAAAAATTAAAATAACAACCATAATAATCAAATAGGTAAACATATCTATCAGCAGTAGAAAATAAAGATAATGACTTAACTTATGACAAAACCAAGAGTAATTTCAGTTTCATATAATGCCAGTGGATGTAAATTGAAAAAAAATATCAACTTTTCCCTTCCTTAGGTAACTAACAGACTCTTGGCTCCAAGAGGTAAAGGCTGTGCTTATCTCAGACGCAGCAGGGAGAAAGGGTGCCTTTTACCGGGGTACACTGGCAGTGTTGGCATCCCTCCAGCAGTGGGTAGAGGCACTGATGACTGCTTCTACCTTGGACAGCTTCCCCCAAAGAGGGAACAGATAATACAAAGGAGGGGCTCCCTTTGTGTATGTATTGGTGCTGGGAATTCTGCAGCAGCAGAGATGGGGTTCCCAGATGCCACTTGGCCAAAATTTTAATTTCTGGGTCTTCTGTTAAGTGTGTGTGTGCGCATGCATGCTGGGGGAGGAGGAGTGTCAAATATAAGTTTCTGACAGTGCGCAGTTCAATTCCTACTCAGCTTGAAATAAACACAAGGCAAAGACACGTCTATCTGAATCAGGAGGAGAAACCAAATAGAAAAGATCAGCCCTACATTATATAACACAATAAATTATATATGCAATTAAAAATTAAATACAAAAAGGTCAGACCAATAAAAAAAAGAATATAAGTATATATATTAAATCTCTGGTTGAGAGGAAGACATTTTAAGCCTGAAAGTAAATGGAAGAAATCAACAAAGGGGAAGTAATGATTCGACTATGAAAATGTGAAAAATTCCTCTACTTCAAAAACAGCAAGCTGATTTAAAAGACAAACCACCCAATTTGGAAAAAAAATATGAAAAATAAGTGAGTAATATAGAAAATTTATATAGGAATCATATAACTGATACAATTTAGAAAAATGGGCAAAAGACAAAAATGGTCACCTCAGGAAAGAAGAAATATAAATGGCTAACACAGTATTAAAATACTAAACTTCAGAAATAGTCAAATAAAAACTAAAATAATATTTAAAAAGAGAAAATACTGAGGAAACTATAACATGTAGTTTGTATATTCCTGACGGGAACATAATTTGGAACAACTTTATGCAAAGCAATTTGACTGTCTGTAGCTTCATACTCATCAAACTAGTGACTCCACTTATGTCAACATGCAGACAAAACTTCATGTAGAAAATTCATTGGAAAAAAATTTACTGGAGCACTATTTGTATTAGTAGCAAAAAAATAATTTAAGTTTTCGATGTAATGAACTAGTTAAAACTATTACATATAAATAGGGAAATTGTGCAGTAATTTTAAAGGAGGGTTAAAATATTTTCTAATGAAATTATATAATTAAATGTAACATTATAAATAAAAAATAAAAATAGTTTACATTGTATGCTCTTGATCATATAAATGGAAAAGTTTTATAAGGGTAAATAGCACTAAATGATAACATTTCATAGCTACAACTTTGGGTTTATGATGCTCTGATTCCAACCCATTAAAGGAAGCAGTGAGCTTTTAAGAAAATTTATTATTGTATGATAATAATTGTGTCACGTCTGGAAACATACAAAAAAATTTGGGGGGCGTTCTAACTGTATTAGACTTGCTGGGTTCTATTTTCTTCTTCATTCTGGTAAATCTATTTCTGTTCTACAGCTGCTCAGTTTAAATCTGTAAGAGAGAAGCTAACTCTTTTTCTCTTAAAGTTTCCAATTTGAGGGAGGGGGTGGGTAATTTTAAGCTTCAATATAAACATGATAAAATATGGAATAAATGGGAATAAGATCCACAAGCATGGCATTAGCAGCTCATTTTGTGACCGTCTTTATCATCTGACTTCATTTTGGCTTCTTCACTGTCCTCTAAAGAGCTTTCTCTTTGGGATTCAAGAGTGAACACTGCAGTGAAAGAATAATGCGCTTTATCAGCTAATCTGTTTATATTAGAAAAGATTTGGCTAATAATATTAGCAACATTTTCTTTATCATCTTCATCAAATGACAGATGCAACTCTTCTGAGCTTTTATATGCATCAGTTGGGAACTCATTTTCCTTCCTTTCAAATTCTCTTTGAGGGTCTTTTGAAGTTGACTGGGCTGAAAGATAGTAATTGGCTGTGTTAGCAAAAGGTAGCTGGGGGTAGGTAGACAGCCTTGGGCGTGTGAGTTCTGACTCAGTTAGTGTGGTTTTGGTGAATCATTTGGTCTCCTTGTCTAAGCTTCTACTGGGCAAATTGAGGATAATTAAACTGAAAACATCACTGCAACATTAACTGAGATAATGGGTGTAAACAATGAACTTAGAAAAAGCTTGGCACACAGGAAGCCTGCTCCATATTAGCTGCCATCCTCTGTATTATTATATAATTTTCTGTCTTAAAAAACCTCAATATTCTCCACTGACAAAATTTCTTAAAAATATATTGGAGTGTGTGATGAATTGGGAGATTGGGATTGACATATATACACTAATATGTATAAAATGGATAACTAATAAGAACCTGCTGTATAAAAAAATAAAATAAAATTCAAAAATTCCAAAAAAAAAATATATATAGGAGTAAAACCCCTAGCAAACAAATTCCAATTTTTTAAATGTTAAAAGGGGTTAACCTTATTGTCAGATTTGGAATAATTAGTGAATTTGAAAAGAGATTTAGGTTTGTAGCATATAAGAGATATCATCTATTTCTATATTCCAGTGAGAAAAGGCAATTTGTGGAAAGATGTAAAATCTGTGATATCATGCCACAATTTGATGTGAAAGGAATCACTACAGACTCCGAGAAACATTACAAAACACTGTTCATCCTCCAGAAGCCCTGCTTCCTCTCTCCATCCACGTTTCAGTTAAATGTTCCCTCTTCAGAGATGTCTTCCCTGGTTATCTTAACACTGCAGTGCCCCTACCCCAATCACCACCTGCCCGATTACTGTGTTATATATTTTTTCTATCTGTTTACTTTTCCCCCCCTCTACCCCCCATTAAAATGTAACCACCTCAAGGACAGGAGCTTCAAGTGTCTTGTTCACCTCTGTTGCTCAGGGTCTAGAATCATGTCTAATACAAGAAGGTACTCAAGTGTTTTTGAATGAATTAAAGAATTCATTTTTGAATGAATTAACAAATGCATTTTATCCAGGCTCAAACAGATTGAGTAACAAGCCATCTTAGTAGTCTGGATCAATACTTCTCAGGCTTTAGTTTGTGAGTTGTCCAAGAGTATTTGTTTTTAATTTTGGTCTTAATTTTGAAGATAATATGATAAACACATAAATTCATTCTTTTTAACATCTTTATTGGAGTATAATTACTTTACAATGTTGTGTTAGTTGCTGCTCTATAAAAAAGTGAATCAGCTATACATATACATATATCCCCATATCCCCTCCATCTTGTGTCTCCCTCTCACACTCCCTATCCCACCCCTCTAGGTGGACACAAAGCACCAAGCTGATCTCCCTGTGCTATGCGGCTGCTTCCCACTAGCTATCTATTTTACATTTGGTAGTGTATATATGTCAATGCCACTCTCTCACTTCATCCCAGCTTACCCTTCCCCCTCCCCGTGTCCTCAAGTCCATTCTCTGCATCTGTGTCTTTATTCCTGCCCTGCCCCTAGCTTCATCAGAACCTTTTTTTAAGATTCCATATATATGTGTTAGCATACGGTATTTGTTTTTCTCTGACTTACTTCACTCTGTATGACAGACTCTAGGTCCATCCACCTCACTACAAATAACTCAATTTCATTTCTTTTTATGGCTGAGTAATATTCCATTGTACATATATGCCATATCTTCTTTACCCATTCATCTGTCAATGGACACTTAGGGTGCTTCCATGTCCTGGCTACTGTAAACAGAGCTGCAATGAACATTTTGGAATATGACTCTTTTTTAATTATGGTTTTCTCAGGGTATATGCCCAGTAGTGGGATTGCTGGGTCATATGGTAGTTCTATTTGTAGTTTTTTAAGGAACCTCCATACTATTCTCCATAGTGGCTGTATCAATTTACATTCCTGCCAATAGTGCAAGAGGGTTCCCTTTCTCCACACCCTCTCCAACATTTATTGTTTGTAGATTTTTTTGATGATGGCCATTCTGACTGGTGTGGTGATACCTCATTGTGGTTTTGATTTGCATTTCTCTAATGATTAGTGATGTTGAGCATCCTTTAATGTGTTTGTTGGCAATCTGTATATCTTCTTTGGAGAAATGTCTATTTAGTTCTTCTGCCCATTTTTGGATTGGGTTGTTTGTTTTTTTGATATTGAGCTGCATGAGCTGCTTGTATACTTTGGAGATTAATCCTTTGTCAGTTGCTTCATTTGCAAATATTTTCTCCCGTTCTGAGGGTTGTCTTTTCATCTTGTTTATGGTGTCCTTTGCTGTGCAAAAGCTTTGAAGTTTCATTAGGTCCCATTTGTTTATTTTTGTTTTTATTTCCATTTCTCTAGGAGGTGGGTCAGAAAGGATCTTGCTGTGATTTATGTCATAGAGTGTTCTGCCTATGTTTTCTTCTAAGAGTTTGATAGTGTCTGGCCTTACATTTAGGTCTTTAATCCATTTTCAGTTTACTTTTGTGTATGGTGTTAGGAAGTGTTCTATTTTCATTCTTTTACATATAGCTGTCCAGTTTTCCCAGCACCACTTATTGAAGAGGCCGTCCTTTCTCCACTGTACATTCCTGCCACCTTTATCAAAGATAAGGTGACCATATGAGCATGGGTTCATCTCTGGGCTTTCTGTTCTGTTCCATTGATCTATATTTCTGTTTTAGTGCCAGTACCATACTGTCTTGATTACTGTAGCTTTGTAGTATAGTCTGAAGTCAGGGAGTCTGATTCCTCCAGTTCCGTTTTTCTTTCTCAAGATTGCTTTGGTTATTTGGGGTCTTTTGTGTTTCCATACAAATTGTGAAATATTTGTTCCAGTTTTATGAAAAATGCCATTGGTAGTTTCATAGGGATTGCATTGAATATGTAGATGGCTTTGGGTAGTATAGTCATTTTCACAATGTTGATTCTTCCAATCCAGGAACATGGTATATCTCTCCATCCGTTTGTATCATCTTTAATTTCTTTCATCAGTGTCTTATAGTTTTCTGCATACAGGTCTTTTGTCTCTTTGGGTAGGTTTATTTCTAGGTATTTTACTCTTTTTGTTGCAATGGTAAAGGGGAGTGTTTCCTTAATTTCTCTTTCAGGATTTTCGTCGTTAGTGTATAGGAATGCAAGAGATTCCTGTGCATTAATTTTGTATCCTGCTACTTTACCAGATTCATTGATTAGCTCTAGTAGTTTTCTGGTAGCATCTTTAGGATTCTCTATGCATAGTACCATGTCATCTGCAAACAGTAACAGGTTTACTTCTTCTCTGATTTGGATTCCTTTTATTTTCTTTATTCTCTGATTGCTGTGGCTAAAACTGCCAGAACTATGTTGAATAACAGGGGTGAGAGTGGGCACCCTTGTCTTGCTCCTGATCTTAGAGGAAATGCTTTCAGTTTTTCACCACTGAGAACGATGTTGGCTGTGGGTTTGTCATATATGGCCTATATTATGGTGAGGTAGGTTCCCTCTATGCCTACTTTCTGGAGGGTTTTTAAAATAAATGGGTGTTGAATTTCGTCGAAAGCTTTTTCTGCAACTATTGAGATGATCATATGGTTTTTATCCTTCAGTTGGTTAATATGGTGTATCACATTGATTGAGTTGTGTATATTGAAGAATCCTTGCATTCCTGGGATAAACCCTACTTGATCATGGTGTATGATCCTTTTAATGTGCTGTTGGATTCTGTTTGCTAGTATTTTGTTAAGGATTTTTGCATCTATCTTCATTAGTGATATTGGCCTGTAGTTTCTTTTTTTGTGACATCTTTGTCTGGTTTCTGTATCAGGGTGATGGTGGCCTTGTAGAATGAGTTTGGGAGTGTTCCTCCCTCTGTTATATTTTGGAAGAGTTTGAGATGGATAGGTGTTAGCTCTTCTCTAAATGTTTGATGGAATTTGCCTGTGAAGCCATCTGGTCCTGGGCTTTTGATTGTTGGAAGATTTTTAATCACAGTCTCAATTTCAGTGCTTGTGATTGGTCTGTTCGTATTTTCTATTTCTTCCTGGTTCAGTCTCAGAAGGTTGTGCTTTTCTAAGAATGTGTCCATTTCTTCCAGGTTGCCCATTTAATTGGCATATAGTAGTAATCTCTCATGATCCTTTGTATTTCTGCACTGTCAGTTGTTACTACTCCGTTTTCATTTCTAATTCTGTTGATTTGAGTCTTCTCCCTTTTTTTCTTGATGAGTCTGGCTAATAGTTTATCAACTTTGCTTATCTTCTCAAAGAACCATAGTTTTATTGATCTTTGCTATTGTTTCCTTCATTTCTTTTTCATTTATTTCTGATCTGATCTCTATGATTTCTTTCCTTATGCTAACTTTGGAGCGTTTTTTTGTTCTTCTTTCTCTAATTGCTTTAGGTGCAAGTTTAGGTTGTTTATTTGAGATGTTTCTTGTTTCTTAAGGTAGGATTGTATTGCTATAAACTTCCCTCTTAGAACTGCTTTTGCTGCATCCCATAGGTTTTGGGTTGTCGTGTTTTCATTGTCATTTGTTTCTAGGTATTTTCTGATTTCCTCTTTGATTTCTTCAGTGATCTCTTGGTTATTTAGTAGCATATTGTTTAACCTCCATGTGTTTGTATTTTTTACAGTTTTTTTCCTGTAATTGATATCTAGTACTAACAGCTATAAAAGGGGAAATCGACAGTAACACAATAATAGTAGGGGACTTTAACACCCCACTTTCACCAATGGACTGATCATCCAAAATGAAAATAAATAAGGACATACAAGCTTTAAATGACACATTAGACTAGATGGACTTAATTGATATTTATAGGACATTCCATCCAAAAACAACATAATACACTTTCTTCTCAAGTGCTCATGGAACATTCTACAGGATAGATCATATCTTAGGTCACAAATCCAGCCTTGCTAAATTTAAGGAAATTGAAATCGTATAATAAATTCATTCTTTATCATCTAGATGATCATTTGGATGGTATGTTATTTCAATGCTGGTCTTTTTGATGTTGTTTTTTATAAACTCTCCAGCACCTGGTTGGCCTCTCTTACTTGTTTATAGGCTAATAATAAAGAAGAGAGGCAGATTTATTAGGCAAAAAATGTGTTTTTGCCTAGCAAAAGCTCAATACTGCCATGTAAGAGGTAATTTCCTTGATATTTAAATAGTTTCAAGCATAGAAAGTGATGGCAAGCTTCCCAGTTTATATAAAGTTAGTGAAACTCTGATAGCAAATTCTGACAAATAGAGCATGTACACACACACACACACTCACAAACTATAAATGAATCACACTTCTCAGTATAAAAAAAATTCTAGATTAACAGCTAAAAGAAATTCAGAAAATCAGAAATACAAGAATGGCTTAGTGTTGGAAAATATATTAGTATAATTGATCAAATCAGTAGGTCAACGGATTAGAAATTTTATGATCATCTTGATAGATTCTGAGAAGGCATGTGATAATGTCCAACATCCATTCTGGATAAAAATATTTAATAACGTTATGAAGAAACATTGACGAGATCCCTTTACTGAGGCCCACTATCACTTCCACCATTAAACATCATTCTAGAACTGCTAGCCTACATAATTATTCAAGAAAGGAAATAAGCATAAATATTGGGAAAAAAGGAGTTGAAACTATGCTTCTTTTCAAACGATCAGATTGGCTATCTGCAAAACTCAAGAGACTCAACTAAAAATCTATCAAAACTAGGAAGTAAGTTTAGTAAGGTGGCTTGTTACAAAGTAACATAAAAATCAAACAGCTTTCCAACATACAGGTAATAACTACTTGGAAAATGTAATAGAAAAATAATCCCATTTAATAGTAACAAAATGACAAAATTTCTAGAAATAAACTTATTAAGAAAAGTATTGACAATACATGAAGAAAGTTATAAAATGTTAAGGAAGGATAGAAATATTAGGCCAAAAAATGGAGATTTAATCTGTCTGAATGAGAAGATTTAATAGTAAAGATGTGAATCCTCATCAATTTATTGTATAATGTTAACACAATCCTCCCACTAGGATTTGCTGTAAAACTTGACAAAATTCTCCAAGCATCCCAAAGCCTAGTACAGCTCCTGGCACCCAGTAAGTACTCATTTTATGGATAAATGAAAGAATACCCAGGAATAATTTTAAAACAGAATGTTTTGAGGAGGAACTTGCATTACTGGATTTAAAATGCATCATAAGATTTTAATAATATTTTGCATTAAAGGTTGTAATATAAAGATCAAATCACAGAAAGTTCAGAAGTTTACACACACACAAACTTAAGATAAAGTTGTCCTTTCAAACATCCAGTAAAATTATGGATAATTTAATAAGTGTTATTTGTAAAATGCCTCACCATTTGGAAAAAATGAATTTAGATCTCTAGCACAAAATTTATGACAATAATTACATATTAATTAGAAAGAAGCATTATTTTAAAATGAGATAATGCAATTTTGTATATGCCATAGGACCATAATTAATCATTACAAATATGAATAGAAAAAAGAGAGGGGTGAAGAATGCATCACATTCTTATCAGTGAATATCTCTGGGGAGTAAGTATGAGTGACTTTTTCTTCCATGTGCTTTTTCCATTTTCTGTGATCACTTGAGAGACACAGGAGATAAGAATACAGACACTGATTTGAATCCTCATCACCTGCTGCCTGTGGTCAAATTATATAACTCCTCTGAGCCTTAATTTCTTCATCCACTAAAAATAGAGATATAAATACCTACCTTATCCATATGGTTATTGAGGTTATAATTTTATAACTTCATTTTTAAGGTGCAAACAAAGCTTGTCCACTTGCTACTTGACTTATGTTACCTGCCTGGCCCCTCTTGGCAACTGGGTTTGCCACCCTAGTCTAGACATAAATATTTAAGAAATCCTTCTGCTAACACTTCAAACAACAGCAACAATCTACTTCACAGGTCTATTATGAGGATCAAATAGGATAATACATGTAATGCATTTAGCATAGCCTCAACATATAGTAAATGCTCAATTAATTTAGCTATTATTTCTTTCGTAATGAGGAAAATTTTATTAGGAAAAGAATATTTGAAATTGAGGCAGTGATGGTTATAGTAGGATGATTATATAGTAGGATGGTTATAGTATGACAGTATACTGCCACAGCTTCTGGGAAATCCAAACAGTGGTGGTTAAATCTAGTCTAAAATTGCTGGAGCTAATCTCAAATTTTGGATCCAGATCTTTGAATGTGAGGAAGATCCCACAAAATGTACAGGAAGTGCTGCACTGAGAGTATTCCATTAAGAAGAGATGTTTAGATTAAACTACTTTCATGTATTCTAAATGGTAGATATAAATTCTACCAAAACCAATCAATAAATTTTCAAAAGTAGCCAAGAAATGAAAACTCTCATTTTTCCTGGAGAAAACTAGAAACTCGCCCTCCCCCCCACCCCAGACCAAAACTCTGTGTCTATTTTAAAATAATATGATAAGCAGTGAGAGTCAGGAAGAGGCAGAATGGTCAAGAGAAAGAACTCTGGGACTTTGGAAACGAGGGTTCAAGTCTCAGCTATGCCACCAGCTGGGTGAATATATCAGGAAGCCATTTAACCTACTGTGCCTCTGTTTCCTCATCTGTAAAGTTATGTAATTGTGTAAATGGATCACCAAGTCTTCTTCCGGTTTCACTGTTTTATAACTTTTGGATTTGAAATTAATATTCCCCAAATAGAAATATTTAATTACAATCAAGGCTGATACACAGCCTAAAACAACAGCAACAACAGCAACAACACAAACTCTACGAGTCAGGTGAAGTGTTGTCATCACAACTGGTATAAATAAAGGTGCAAATTCTGCTCAGTCTCTGCCCAGCAAGCAGATCTATTAAAGTAAAGAAATCTGAATTTGGAAACTCTGATTCCTTTCCTTAGTCGTCCAGAACTGAAATCTTTTTCTCTGTGTAAGATTCAGGTTTATGTATATTCATTTCTTCAACCACTTATTAAGAGGCTGCAATGCAGTGTGCAAGTTGCAGGGATATCAAGACAAGCAAACCAAGTTCTTGCCTTCAGGTAGTCAAGCTTAACTGTTGACCTAAGCTTAAAACACACATTTTAAAAAGATAGTTCACCTTGTTTTTTAGCTTGTAGTTCTGAGAGAAGCCGCTCTTTCACAGCTTCAATGGCTGCTTCAGTGACCTCAGCTATAGTATTTCTGGTTAGCGTTTCAAGGGCTTTATCAAAACGTGGTTGGACAAGTTTATCGTAGTCAACTACCTGCAAGGAATATTTGAGGAAACCAACATAAGCACAGTTACTCTGAATATTAGGTACACTGTTCATCTACATCTATTTCTATAGCTATACCTATCCATCTCAAAAATCTTAATGCTGCTTGAGGTATGTTATTCTCAGAATTCGGTGATTTTTGAGTACTTGCTTTCACAGAAATTCAACATATATATAAATATATATTTATGTTTGTATGATCATGTAAATACATTCAAATTACATGTATATTTTTAAAATCAACATTTTATGGATAATCTACATATAATTAAAGGCACCCATTTTAAGTACAGAGTTTGATGAGTTTTTACAAATATATACATGACGACCACAATCAAAATATAGAACATTTATATCACCCCAAAAAGTTCCCTCTCATCCCCCTTTATAGTCAGTTCCTGGCACCTGGCAACCACTTCGTTTTCTGTCACTATAAATTAGTTTTGCCTTTTCTAGAATTTCATATAAATAGAACCATACAGTGTATAATCTTTACCAAGCTTTTCTACCTTAGCAAAATGTTTTTGAGATTCATCAGTGTAACTGTATATCTCAGTAATCTATTCCTTTTTGTTTTTGAGTAGTATCATTGTATGAATATACCATAGTTTTTAATCCATTCATCACGGACATTTGGGTTGTTTCCAGTTTTGGCAATTTAAAAGTACCAATGAACATTTGTGAGAAAGTCTTTTTGTGGACATTACATTTTCACATCTCTTGGATAAATGCTGAGGAGTAGAATTACTGGGTCATATGATTAAGTGTATGTTTGACTTTATAATAAATAAAGCACTAAACTGTTTCCAGAGTGGTTAAAGCTATTTTAAAGTCCTAGCAGCAAAGTATGAAAATTGAAGTTATTCCACCTCATCACCAGCACTTGGTTTTGTGAATCTTTCACATTTTAGCCACCCTAGTTGGTGTGAAATCTCATTGCAGTTTAAATTTACATTTCCCTAATCACTGACAATTTTGAGCTTCTTTTTATGAGCTTATTGGTCATTCACTTACCCACATGTTTTTAAGCATATGTTCAACTTTTGCCTAGTTAAAAAATGAGGTTAGAATTCTACATATATTTTGAATATAAGTCCTTTGTTAGGTAGATAATATACTTAATACTGAATGTTGGGATGTTAGATTTATATATGCCTTTTAAGTTTAAATAATATTTCCATACTTCTAGATTCAATTTTGCTCTTCCTCCAATATGCTTATATCACTTTATTCCATGCCAACAAAAATACATCCACACCATCATTTTTAATGGATGAACAGTACTGTATTAGATGAATATATTACAACTTAATATTTAACTAAAATACCAATTATATTTAGATATACATGATTTTGTTATTATAAACTAGGTTATGAAGAACATAGTTATGTATATGTCTTTGATAGTTTCTTCAGGAAAAACATATAGTTCAAAGGCTATGTATAGATTTTAGGCTTTTATATGTATTTCCAACTGCTATCCCTAATGATTATACCCTAACCAGCAATGTATGAGAATGTACTTTCCCAATCCTAGCCACACATCAATACTGGTTGTTAATATGATTTTTCAACAGTGAGATTGACATGACATATATCTGTTTTTTTTTGGCCTCTCCCTGGTTATCAAGGTGATACTCCTTTTCTCATGTGTAATGGCTATTTGGATCAACTATTTTGTGAACTGCCTGTTTGCTATCATTTTCCATTGGAGCTTTTACATATTGATTTGTAAAAACTTTTTACATTTTAAAATTATAATTCTTTTGTCTGACACATACTGTGATGGTCTTAAAACATGTCCACAAATGCTTTAATATTCCTTTCTTCAGAAGGTGAAGCCTAATTCCCCTCTTCTTTAGTGTAGGCAGGACTCAATGACTTACTTTAAATGAATATAGTATGGTGCATTTTTCATTTAAAAAGGGAAATGGGGGCTTCCCTCATGGCGCAGTGGTTGAGAGTCTGCCTGCCGATGCAGGGGACACGGGTTCGTGCCCCGGTCCAGGAAGATCCCACATGCTGCAGAGCAGCTAGGCCCATGAGCCATGGCCACTGAGCCTGCGCGTCTGGAGCCTGTGCTCTGCAACAGGAGAGGCCACAACAGTGAGAGGCCTGCGTACCGCAAAAAAGTAAATAAATAAATAAAAATAAAAAGGGAAATGGCAAACCACAGAGTGGTAGAAAATATTCATAATGTTTATTAGAAAATATTCATAATATTTATAATAAAACAATCTGTACATAGACAACATAAGGAACTCCTACCAATAATACGCAAAAAAGTTAAAAATGGGCAAGAGGCTTGAACAAAGTGAACAAACACTTCAAAAAGTGAATATCTGAATAACATATGAAAAAATGTTGAACCTCATTAGTCATCAGGGAAATGCAAATTAAAACCTCAGTGAGATATATCCACTAGGATGGCTAAAATAAGAAAGACTGACCATAACAAAAGTTGGCAGGAATGTGGAACTCTCATACACTGCTGGTAGGATAGTAAATTGGTAGAACTGGTCTTGAAAACAGTTTGGCATTTTCTACACAAGTTGACTATGTATGTATACCTTATGTCCCAGAAATTTTACTCCTAGATATACCTTCAAACTATATAAAGATATGCATGTATACACCAAGAAACAGGTACAAGACTGTTTATAGCAATGTTATTCACAATTCCCCAAACTGAATCGACCTAAGTTTTATTGACACTCAAATGGATAATAAGTCATAATATAATTCAATCAATAGAATACAATAAAACAATAAAAATAAGCTATAGCTATAACATGCATAAATATCACAATTATAATGTTAAGTGAAAGAAGCCAGACACAAAAAACATAAACTGTTTTAAGTCCATAAAGTTAAAAAAATATGCAAAGGTAATCTATGGTATTTGAATGTGTGCTTACATGGTAAAACCATAAAAGAAAAGTACAGAAGTGAGTATTATAAAGTTCAGGACAGTGGTTACCTTTGTGGAAGGAGTAAGAGGACTGATATTAGAAAGAGGCATAAGGCGGCTTCTGGGGTCCCATGTCTGACCTAGGTGGTGGTTACATGGGGGTTTGTTTTGTGATATCTCAATGAGCTTCACTTTTCTGTATGTTTGTCATATTTTACAATAAAAAAGTTAAAAGCAAGTAGGAAATGTTACCCCTGTGTTTATAAGAATTTAACAGCATTTGGAATAAATTCAAACTCCTTCCCAGGGCCTGCACTGTCTGACTACATCTTCAGCCATCTCCACCTTGTGCTGTTCCTCCTTTCACACTACATGCTCCAGCCACACTGGCCTTCATATAATTCCTCTACATTCCAATCCCTCATCAAATCCTTTGGCTCTATCTTCAAATTATATCCCAAATCTGCCCACTTCTTACCACCTCTACTGCTATCACTCTGGTCTAAGCTAAAAGTAATTTCTCTTCACTTACCGAGGGTGGAGAATAAGATCACTGAGGGGAGAGGTCAAGGAACTGTCAGGTCAATGTGTTGGGAGGGTCATCTTTGTAGATAGTGAAATCACCAAGAATGATGACAGGAATGAGGGTGTGGAGGAAGGGTCGGTGGGCCAGGAGGAGTGTAACCCAGGGAACAGGAGATGAGTGAAACCAAGAAAGGTAATGGGTGGCACAGTCTGCATGACATAGCAGTCAAATCTGGGGACTTTCGGGAGTGGCTATGGTCTGGAAGCTGCACTAAAGCATCGAGGAAGATGCTTTCCCCACTCCAAGCCCAGTGGAACAATTACCCAGTTGACAGTATAAAATTAAGAAAGCTGAGCACAGGGAATTCCCTGGCGGTCCAGCAGTTAGGACTCCGTGCTTTCACTGCTGAGGGCCCAGGTTCAATCCCTGGTCAGGGAACTAAGATCCCACAAGCTACGCTGTGAGACTAAAAAAAAATTTTTAACTTAAAACAAAAAAAGAAGAAAGAAACACCTACCAGGCTGCATCAGAAGAATGATTTATTAAAGCTGGAGTTTGGGGGGTTTAAAAAAAAAAAGAAAACTGAGTACAAGTCCTAAAAGTCCTAAAATCCCACAAAGTATAATGAAGTATAGATAGGTAGAAAGCTAGCTAGGTAGCTAGCTAAGTAGTTACCTTTCCTTTGTAATGTTTTGCAAGCAAATTGCTAAGTGTCGTTTTCCCTGAAGACTGAGGTCCAAATATGAACACTTTAAATGGTGGTGCTGGCATAGGTGGAAGAAGATAGGGACGTGGGTTCAATAAAAATGTTTTTAATGCTTCTTCTGATGAAAGACAGTATATTTTACCTAGAAAACTTAAAAAATGACATTATCATAAACAACCGAAAAGAGGTATGGGCAAGTTTTTAAATTAAATTCTGAAAATCTTACTTACCTCACAGAAAAATCTGGCAATCCTTGAAAAATGTTACCTTCTTTTAAAGTCACCGGACATGTATGTCCCCATCTGCTTCTCTGCCATCTGTATCTTGGTGCAATAAGTTTACAAGCTGCAAGAGTACGGAACAGCTCATCCTGTTAATAGCAAACAACATTAAAAATGTGGGCATAAGTTTGGCTGAAATTCACATTATTACTTCATTTCTTATTTGATCACGTTCTACTATTTAAGAAATAATTCATAAAGGAAATTTTGGGTTTTTTCTCAATTGTAACCATTCTGTACTTGTCCAAAATTTAATAAGACAAATAGTTTTCATTTCTGTTTTAAGACCTTGTTTAAATTTTACTGAGCATTTTCTCTTGTAGGGTAGAATGAGCATAAGGTAGATAGAGCATTTTCTATTATCTGTTTCAGGAAACAGATTCTGAAAAATTCTTATTGAAAAGGTTTGAAAACATACCAGAATCTTAGCTAATTTACATAAGTTTTAAAATAGGAAGATGTTACATACAGATTTGCATTGACTTAGCTGTTTCATTCTTCTTAAATGTAAAGTCTCCCTCAGCAATCCTCCGTTCGTCACGGGCAGAGTAGCTAAGAACCACTTCCCTACCGACTGCAGACTGCTGAGAGGGTCACTGTCCTAGCGCTACCTTGGCGGGGACAAGAGAACTGGAGGGAAACAACATGGTAGGCAACTGCTAGGGGGACAGGTCCAGGCTGGCTCCCTCCCACCTTCAGACATGGATCTCACATGTATTGCTGGTTCCAGAGCTGACTGTGGAGGACAGATGAGAATGGAAGCTCTGGTCTTGCCTGCACTGCTGCAGTATATGAGAGCAAAGAGGCATGCTGGTTGCGGGGATGTTGCATGGATGTCCCCACCTGAAGGCTGGAAGAAGCTCGATGGGAAGGAAACTGTCAATGCTTAGGGGAGCTGAATGACACTGAGAAACTTGTCGGTGGGGCACATTTGGCTACCACCCTTCTCCATGAGTCCACAGACAATGAGCTAGGGACTGAAATGTACCCAGTTAAGTCAGGAAGCAGGCACTTTTTCCTTATCATCCCTATTTCCTGTCCAAACTTGGAGAAAGTGTGTGAATAGCAGACCATGCTCCTCTCTCAACTTTGAGCCCCCGAGGCTACATATCTAGCGGGGGGCTGAGGGGCGATGAAAAGATGAGCTTTCAAATGAGTTTGATATCACAGCCGTAAAAATGATCATGACTGTCTCTGGTTAAAGGCAGACTGAACACATGCATTTGTGTTTGCTTTTTTCCTAAAACCTTGCAAAAATGACAGCAGAGGAATGAAAAAAGAAATGAACTCACGAGGACACAGAGACTGGGAGAAGAGACCAGAGGAGCTGACAGCTAAGCAGCCGCAGCTATACACTTTTGTCAACTAGAAAGCAGATGTATGTAGCAGCCGCAGCTACACACTTTTGTGTGTAGCTCCCTAGGCCCTCAGAGCTCGTTGTGGTGAGCTCTGGAGACCCGGCTGGACAGATTTTGTCAATATTTCTTTACCTTGTAGCCTAGCTCCTTGGTCTTCTCCTCCAACAAGGCGTATCTCTCTGTTCCGTGCCTGCTGCGCTCCCGGTGGCCAACCACGTGCTTGTTCGTGATGAGAAATTTCCAGCTGCTTCTGATAGTGGTTATGCTTTTCGATTTCGGTGTCAAAGCGCTTGAGCTCTCCCAAAAGGATTCCAGTTCCTTCTCTGTGAAGTTGGCTGACCTGGCCAGGTCCCACAGATCCATCACCTGGGGCTCGTCGAACTCTGCCTTGGCGCGGCAGCCCCGGTGGCCGACTTCCTGCAGGTGGTCTAAGTCCTGGCTGATGTCCCGCAGCCTGTCCTTCACTCGGCATGTCTGCTCTGCAGCACGTCCTCCTGGCTGTGGGTCACGTCGGCGGGACTGACAACGTTTTCCTTAATTTCTTCTGTCCTGCTCAGGGTCTCCAGAAGGACCTTATTCTCCTGGACCTTCTCCCTGTGATGCTGAAACTCCCACCACGACTGGTCCAGTTCTTCATTGAAAAACCTCCCGGAGGTCTTCGCCTTGTGCCACAGCTTCTCCAGCCGGGGGTCCTCCAGGCTGTGGTCCTCGGTGCCGGGGCTGAGGACGTTGCTGCTCACGGCCGGCCTGGGCGTCGTTTCTCCCGTCCCGACCACACTTGGCCAGGATAACGTTGAGACTGCTGATAAGTTTTGCTTCTTTCTCTCCATCTTCATCTAAGCCTTCAGCCTTCAATCTCTTCCTCTTGAATTCGTCCCTTTCGCGTATGTATCTTGAAGCTCAAGCTTGTATCTTGATCAGCATGGAGCTCGGACAATTTCACAGGAGAAAAATTAAGCCGCTGAGCCTTCCCCCACAGCTGATTCTGCTTCTCCTGGCGGAACTACCCCCGACCCGGGCTCGCGCTCCGAGGGCTGCGCGGGCTCATTCTTATCCCGCGAGAACTTGCCGCCGTGGCCGGCGGCCCGCCAGGCCCGGGAGGAGGCGGCGGAGGCGGCGGCGGCGGAGGCGGCGGCGGCGGCGGCGGCGGAGGAGGAGGAGCTCGCGCAGCGCAGCTCCGACCCTCCGCGATGCTGTCTTCCTCCTCTGGAAGCCGAGACCCCGGCAATTGCGGGTCGGAAAAGCCCCCAGGTTTTCTGAATACTTTAAATTTTCCCTTCGGTTATGACCTAGAAGTGACTCAGTACAGAGCTTCTGTGTGCATCAGGCCCACCTTTCCTCCTCTTCAGCACCAGTTCGTGTTACATATTCCAGCTATATTCAGCCATTAAGATCTAGGGATTACACAGTACAGGATAACAAAATGACCTCTTTCCTTAAATTTATTTCCATAAGTTATTTGAATTATAATATCTATGATTCTGGTATTAGTTTTTTTATTTCTATTTTTATAGGTGAATCTAAACTTCCCAGAATAGATCAAATCCTCCACTTAAAAGTCCTGGTAGCCCTTTTAGCACTTGGCAATTATAATTTGATCACCATCACATCCACAATACATCAGGGCCAGGAACACAGTAGTTATTTTAAAAATTGGTTGAATGATTGGGGAAATGAATGAGTATAGAGTTGAGGGCTTTTATGTCTTTGCTTTCTTCGGTGCTGCAAAATTTTGAAACTGAACTTGGGTTTCTTTATTTCTTATTATTCCTGTGGTTGATTGTTCTGATTTTATTGTCTTTCTTTGTTTCAAAACTTTTGTTGTGTTTAGTGTCTACAAGAATATTGTGCCAATATTACAGCTTCCCAAAAATCAAATCCGTTTTTATAAAAGGTATCCTGAGAGCCTTTTAAACCTTGAAAGGATACAAATTAAGGTCACAACATATAGTGAAAGAGTAGACTTTCAAACAGTTAAAAATAACTTACATTTTCCATCGTGTCATTAATTTCTTCCTCTGCACTCTGAAGTTTGGCTAAAACAGCTGCTCTTTTTAGGTTCAGATATTTAAGTCGATCCATAACTGTCTAAATTTAAAGAACAAGTCTTTTAATACATTGGCATTTGAACATCTCAAATGTCCTGAAAAAGTCATGAGCTCATGAGTAGAATACTTCCTTGTTCTCCCTAGCTTCTGGTAGTTTGCCGGCAATGTTTGGTATTGCTTGGCTTGTAGATGCATCACTCCAATCTCTGCCTCTGTTGTGACATAGCCGTTTTCTCCCTGTGTTCATGCGTCTCTTCTCTTATAAGGATGCCAGCCATATTGGATTAGGACCAATCCTAATTCACTATGGCCTCACCTTAACTTGATTACATCTGAAAAGATCTTATGTCCAAATGAGGTCATACTTACAGGTATTGAAGGTTAGCTCCTCAACATATATTTTTGGGGACACAATTCAACCCATGAGAGTCTACCCTTTGGTCCCCAGATATTCATGCCCTTCCCTTGTTAATTCCCTAATTTATGTGAGAATCCTTATCTCATTGGTATTGAGCTTCTCCATGTAACTTGTTCTGGCCAATAGAATGTGGGCAGAAGTGTAAGGGTGCCATTGCTGGCCGGGGCCTTAATAGGCTTGGGAAGTTTCAACCAGGCCTGTTGGAACTTCTGCCCTTTACCTTGAGGACAGTGTGTCCCAGGTTGTAAAAAGTAGTCAAATTCTGGATATATTTTGAAGAAGAAGCCTGCTGTATATGCTGATGGGTTGGATGTGGGATATGAGAAAAAGAGAGGAGCAGCTGGAAGGATGATGTGACATATACTGAGAGGGGAGAACTGTGGGAGGAGTGTATTTGGGGCAGGGTGGTGGTGATGGCGGATCAGGAGTTTTATCTTGCACATTTAATCTGAGGTGACAATTATACATCCAGTAGGATATATTGGATATATTTAGTAGCAGTTGATTATACAAGTGTGAAATTCAGGGGAAAGGTCTGTTATAGTAATATGAATTTAAGAGTTGCCAGCATTTAGAAGGTATTTAAAGCCATTGGGTTGGATGAAGTCTCCTAAGAAATGAGGGTAGACAGAGAAGAGTGCTCAAGGAATGAGTTCTGGGATCCTCCAACTCTAGAGGTTAGAGATGTAAAGTGTAGAGGTAGAATGAGCTATAGTAGTGTGGGGTCCCAGAAGACAAGGGAAGAAAGGAGCAGGAAGGAAGAAGTGATGAGCTGGGTCAAATATTGCTTCTAGGTGAATTAGATGAAGCCCAAATAGTCACTACTGGCTTTGATCAGGAGATCACGGATGATCTTGGCAAGAGCATATTCTAAGTGCGGAGCTTCTCCCTAATTTGGTTGCACCACCAGCATTATTACTTATGTGGCCACCAGCCATATCAAACTAAAAATCTGGGCATTGCTCCTGACTTTTCTCTCTCCCTGTCCTCCTACATTAAGTAGCTCCCAGGTCTGTCTTCTGTCCATTCCCACAGTCATTACCCTAGGTTAGACCACCATCTCTTATCTGATGTGCTGCAAAAGTCAGAACTAGTCTTCCTCCCACCAACCTGCTTCTCCTCAGTTTTTCCTTTGCATTGCAGTCTGAGTGATCATTTTTAAATGGAAGTAGAAGCATTTTACTCTCTGGCTTAAAACCTTTCACTGGCAGCCCACTCTCTCATGATGAGGTCTAAACTCTTCAACGTGGCTTATGAGGCCTTTCTTGCTGCAACCCCTGCTTATTCCTAAAGTTTTGGCACTACTCCACTCCTACTCCATCCCCCTAAAAACTCCTCCATCTTCCAGTCCTTCATTCATTTCCTAGAACTCACTAGGCTCTTTTTTTGCCTCTGGGGCTTTACACAGACCCTTCCCTCAGCCTGGAACACTGTCCCACCTTCCTCCCCTCACCAGCCCTCACAGTCTAATTCTTACTCATCCTTAGAGTTTCAATTTAGAAATAATTACAGACACATGGCCTTCCTCACGCGATTAGGTCCTGTCCTTTTGCCATGAGCTCCTATAGTACCTTGTACCTCCCAGATTATAACACAAACTGCCCTTGAAATATTTATTTTCCCCCAACATATTGGATACTGTGTGAGGGGAGGGACTTCTCTGACCCCTTCCCATCTGTATCCCTAGAGCTTATCATAATGCTGCACACCTATTAGGTGTTTAAGAAGGTAATGTATTTTTGTATTATTTTGTATTGGACTATATTTTTTGCTTTTATTTTTTTATGTAATGTATATTTTTGTATTTTGTAATTTTTATGATGCATATTATTTTGTATTATTTTTGTATTTTGTACTTTTGTGTTTTCTGGTTATTTTAAAACCATGAGTGTGTATAACTTTTAAATCAGAATGCAGATATTTTAAAAAAAGGCACAAGCTTATAGATACAGAAAGCAGATTGGTGGCTGCCAGAGGTGGGGGGTGGAGGATGGGAGGTAGACAAAATGGTTGAAGGAATTCAAAAGTATAAACTTTCAGTTATAAAATAAATAAGCCCTGGGGATGTAGTGTACAGCATGGTGATTATAGTTGATAGTACTATATTGCCTATTTGAAGGTTGCTAAGAGAATACATCTTAAAAGTTCTCATCATAAGAAAAAAATTCTTTATGTATGGTGTCAGATGTTAGCTAGACTTATTGTGGTGATCATTTCACAGTATCTACAAATATTGAACCATTATGTTGTATACCTGAAACTAATATAATGTTGTATGTCAATTATACCTCAGTTTAAAAAAAAAAGAATGAAGATATTTACATTTTGGGGGGAAAAAAAGTACCTTCTCTTCCTTACATTCTAAGTGGGAAGTTATCACATGAAATATATTTAAATGATGTATTTAGTATGGTTACCATAAACAGAAGAATTACTATTATGTTTTCCCCAAAAATCATGCATTAGTCTTTCAAATTCACACATTAAAAAAAACCCCTTTCCCAAACATTTTTTGCTTTTTTTCTGATCGTAAACATCTTGAACAAAAATCTTTCTGTATATCTCCATGTATTTCCTTAGAATAAATTACTAGAAACTGGGCCTCTTTGGACAGATGATAGACATTAAAAAAAATCTTTTGGGGCTTCCCTGGTGGCGCAGTGGTTGAGAGTCCTCCTGCCAATGCAGGGGACACGGGTTCGTGCCCCGGTCCGGGAAGATCCCACATGCCGCGGAGCGGCTGGGCCCGTGAGCCATGGCCGCTGAGCCTGTGCGTCCGGAGCCTGTGCTCCGCAGCGGGAGAGGCCACAACAGTGAGAGGCCCGCATACCGCAAAAAAAAAAAAAAAATCTTTTGGATACATATATGCCGTATTATTTCCCAGGAAGATTGTGCCCTGTATGCTCCTACTGAAACGGTATAAGAGTATTTCACAAACCCTCCCCACAATCCTGGATATTGGATAAATTTGTTAAATCTGCTAAGAAAATGCTGCTTTCTATTCTTTGTGCTGTTTGCATTTCTTTGACTAATAATATGATTATAGAAGTTTAAAAAAATATATTATTAGACATTTCTTGCTAAATTACCTGCGCACGCCCTTTGCCTGTTTTTTCTATCGAGATATTTGCTTTTTTCCTATTGAAATATCAGAAGTTTTAAAATATTTATAAAAGATACTCAGCATTTGTTTATAATAAGTATGGAAACTATTTCCCCTCATTGTCATTTGTTTAATAGTGAAAATAATATTGTATTTTCAAATATGCATATATTCTGTTTAAAAAAAGCTTTATTGAGATATAATTCATATACCATATAATTCATCCATTTAAAGTGTACAATTAAATGGTTTTTAGAATATTCAGAATTGTGCAACCATCACCACAATTAATCCTAGAACATTTTCATCACCCCCAAAATATACCCTATACCCATTAGTAGTCACTCCACATTTATCCTGGGATCTCCCACAGTGGTAAACCCACGCCCCCCACCCCCTGCCACTAAGGAACCACTTATCCATTTTTTGTCTTTGTAGATTTGCCTATTTTGGACATTTCATGTAAATGGAATCATATGATATGTGATCTTTTGTAACTTTTCTTTACTTAGCCTGTGTTCAAGATTCATCCATGTTGTAACATGTGTCAATACTTCATTCCTTTTTATTGCTGAATAATATTCCATCGTATGAGTATACCACATTTTATTTATCCATTCATCAGTTAATGGACATTTGTGTTGTTTCTACCTTTCAGCTATTGTGACTAGTGCTGCTATGAATATTCATGCACAAATTTTCATTTCAACACCTATTTTCAATTCTTTTGGGTATATACCTAGGACACGAACTGCTGAGTCATGTGGTAACTCCATGTTTAACCTTTTGAGGAACTGCCAAACTGTTTTCCAAAGTGGCCACACCATTTACAATCCTACCAACTATGTACGGGTGTTCCAATTTTTCTACATCCTCACCAACACTTGTTATTTATTGTCTGTTTTGTTTTCTGTTTTTAATTTTAGCCATCTTAGTGGATTTGAAATGGCATCTCATTATAGCTTTGGCTTGCATTTCCCTATGGCTCATGTTAAGCATCGTGTCCTGTGTCTATTGGCTGTTACCTGCTTTTCCTTTTCTTTGAGGCACTTTTGGTCACACAGAGATTTTAAATTCAAATGCAGTTTTGATTTAAATATGGACAGATGAATAAATACCACATCAAAATTTTAAGTGTCAAGATGAATTTTTCAAAAATAAATGGTATTAAAAAAGTAAATCTATTAATGATATTTATTAAAATAAGTATAATCCAGTTGATACTTTTTTGATTTTCCAAACTGTGGCATATTCTTACTGAGCATTGCACTTACCGTGAAGAGCTCCTCTGGGGGCTTATTTCCGTCTAGCTCAATGAGATACTGGGAATCGTGTTCAGCCATTACTTCCTGCAGATGATCAAACACAAGCCTCATCATTCAAGATCATTGGCAAAAGATCAGAATCTTAATATACCATGAAGAAATATTTAAAGCTAAATTATTTGCTTTATACTTGACATAATAGATGTTATTTTCAGGAGAGCTTTTACAAAAGCCTAAACTAGTCTTCTTACCTTGAATTTTCCTCTTTCTGTTTTTTCCATTTTTCTCTACAGTGAAGTCTTAGAGTCTTTCCCAACAGAAGTGTTTTGGGGCATCTATCTCTCCGTATGTATTCATAGAATAATTTCTACCAAACTGCTAGCTGAAGAATGGGGTTGGTTCATTTCACTTTTTATTCCCCTGGCTGTGGGTGATGTTCAGTATCCAGATATCCATCTCTGTAAACTGCCAAACCATAACCTCTGTGCAATTTTCCGTTAGACTCTTTCTTCTGCTTAACTTTCATGGAGAATCTTTAGCCCTTATCTGCCATATGGTTTGTAAATGTTTTGCCTTTCTATGATTTATCTTTTGACTTTGTTTATGGTATCTTTTGCAATATAAAATATTTTTATGATGAAATCTGTTCTCATTGTTTCTGGATTTCCTTCCTTGCTTAAATTAGATTTTCTCTATCTCAAGGATATATTAATATTCTTATAAATTTTCTTCCACTATTTTTTTTACTATTAAAATCTAAAATCCAAGGGATTTTATTTTTTGACATTGGCAATGTTGAACTGTATCTGAGTCTTGTGTTCCCAGAAAGTAGGGATGGTGGGGAGATAAGACCCACCTCCACCTTTCCTTCCTCAAAGACTCAGATAAGATCCATCTCCATCTCTTTTCATGATTCCCATAGGACCTGAGGATGGCTCCCTTGTTTACCTGCCTCCATAAAACCCCAGCCCCCTTACTTTTCTTTGAGAAAGTCCTCCTTAATGAACATTCTCCCTGTTGCAATCGTCTGAACAAAATCATCTCCTTAAATGTCCAGTACATTTTGTCTTTCATAATACTGCGCAAGGTCAGGTTCTAAGTATTTCTTTTCTTCTAGACAGAAGGCACATTATGTCTGCATTATTTATTTAACCATAAATAACCATGTTCTGAACAAGGAAGTACATTATGCTTTTCTGCATTTCATATACTTTCCTTAAGCTAGATTCTTAAGAATGGACTTACTAAGTCTAAGGGTAGGAACAATCCTAAGGCTAAAGATTCTATACCAGGTCCGACCGGGAGTCAAGGTGGGATTTGAAGACAGGCGAGAATGAGGACTTAGCCTTGGATTACTCCTGAAGTAGGATATAAGCCAGAAAATGATGCAGGTTACTTTGCTCCCACTTGCTTTCCTCATGTCTTTTGAAGGAACACTGGATTTTGGTGGTATTGGCCTTCCAAGTGAATTGACATCTCAGCCAGGTCAGAGGAGACTGGAATTGCAGGCTCCTACCTTTGAAGGCTCTCCCACCTCCCTCCACACACACCAGCACCTTGGAATTACCTTACAAGGCAAGCTATATACTATTCAGCAAGCATCACCTAGGCCTAACGTCTAGGTTCTTGGCTTTGAAATTCTTCCTCTGCTGGCACCAGGGCACTCGATTCTTATCTATGCTTTGCTGTAGGGCTTAGAATTTTTCCACTTCTGGGCTTTTTTCAGACAAGCTGTCTAAAAACCACCATACTAATTTCTATTCCTTTCAGCAGGGTATGAGAGTGTGTGCTTTACCATATATACTTGCTAGAATTAGTAATTCTTATTCCTTGTTCATCTTTTAAAATTTGATCATGGAAATATCTCTTAATTTAGATTAGCCTTTCTTTATTATCAGTAAAGCTGAACATTTTTCTACAGGCTTGTTACTCTTTTGTCTTTCATTTTTGTGAATTGTCTGCTCATATTTCTTGCCCATTTATCATCGGGAGGGTAAGACCTTACAGGTTTTAGAAAAATCATTTCTATGACCTTTTTTTTCACATTAAAAAAATTGAAGAATAGTTGATTTACAATGTGTTAATTTCTGCTGTACAGCAAAGTGATTCAGTTATACATATATATACATTCTATTTTTAATATTCTTTTCCATTGTGGTTTATCACAGGATATTGGATATAGTTCCCTGTGCTATATAGTAGGACCTTGTTATTTATCCATTCTATATACACTGGTTTGCATCTGCTAACCCCAAACTCCCACTCCATCCCTCCCCCACCCACCCTCCCTCCCCTTTGTTAACCCTTGTCTGTTCTCTATGTCTGTGAGTCTATGACCTTTTACTATATCAAAGCTTTAAATCTTTTAGCATAGTTGATGTGGATATTTTTCAAGTTTGTTATCTTTTTATTTGAGTGAGGTGTTTTTTAAAAATTTATTTCCGGAAGCTTTACATGTAATGAAACGGAAGCTGTCATTCTTTTTCCTTTGTGATCTCATCACTTGTTCAGCTGACCATCTGTTAAGCATTTACCACTTGCCAGAATTTGGGCACTGCACTGGGCATTGGTGATGCTAGGATGTGAGACTTGGTCCCTATCCAACCCCCTGCCCATGAATATAGTTTTCTAATCTTCTGAATCTGATATTAATTATGCTTTATTTGATACCCAATGCCAGCCACTTAAGGAATATGTAGAATATTTTTGTTGAAGGAGAAAGAATATTATAGATAGACATGTAAATTACACTTAAGAAGCTATGTTTAAAGGCCGGGAATGGAAGAAGAAGAAGGGAGGAATCAAAGTCATACATAAGAAAACAAAAGTACTGAATCATTATGCTGTACACCTGAAACTAACACAATATTGTAAATCAACTGTATTTCAATAAAAAAAGAAACCAGTTTGGTTCTCAGTTTTTGGCGGGGGCGGGGTGGGCAATGGTGATGAAAATGATCCACTCATTTGTCTCTAAAAATATATAAACATTATAAAACAGCATGAAACAAATTCTTTTAGTTTCTCTATCAGATGGGAAGGGTAATTTGAGGACTGTTTTTTATTTTCTTTGTATTTCCATTGCTTAGCATGGTATCTGGCCAAATGCCAGATAATAAATGTTTGTTGAATAAATCTCCAACATAAATTGGGCAGAGTCTGCCCTGGATTTTTAACCTTAAAAATATGCTTTTCAATAATCATAATTTCAGTAATCATACTTTTAAAATGCTAATTATTTTAATTAAAAATTTCCTATTATAATATATAATGCCCTTATCATGTTTGCAAATAATCATCTTTGAATGGGATAAACAGAGAAACCAGTCTGGGATAGCTCTTCTTTAGACTGCAATTTAACTAAATTAACAATTCCTTTTAGAATAAAAGATACACCTCAACTGTACATTTGTTTTGATAAACCCGTAAATGCTTTCACAAAACAATCTCTTGACATGGACTTTCCAACCTCCAACAATAAACAAATTCCCCTAATGACTTTTGAAAAATGCAATTTTCAGCAACATTCCTGCTTTGTGAGAGTAAAATAATATTGTTCTGTGAAACAGCTTTTGGAATGCAATCTTATTCTGATAGCATTTTACCAAGCTCAAGAGGAGGAGAATCAGGTAGATAATACATGAAGTGAAGAAATGTGAAAGTTATTTCAGGGATAAAACACAGATATCAACATTCCGATTTTCAGCAACATATCTTGTTCTTACTTCTAAAGGGTGAAGAATTATTTCCTTATAAAATTTAACAATGTGTTCGATATTTTCCAAATAATCCTCAGGCCTCTGAACTAGATGTTGAAGAATTTCAGCCACCACCTGCATTTCAGCAATAAATGCCTAAATGGAAAAGATGTTAAATATCTTTATGTTAATCGTTACTTTATTTACAAGTCATATCCCTCCCTCCTTATACCTAGATGCCCTTTTGGGATGAGAAGAAGGGAGAAGGGCAGATTAGAAACAGGATTTTTATTTTAGAGAGATAGAACACCCCTGAAGTTCCTTAATCAGATGGAATAAAGCTTTAAATTCACTTGGATACTTACTAATTTCTTTTTGCTCCCCAATAAGTAGGGAAGAGTAAAGGAATAACATCAGATTTTTAGAGACAAAGAAATTAGATTTTTTATGAATACTTGAGCTTGTAGCTCATTCATTCATTGATTCATTCATTTAGTAAAGCTTAAGTGCCTACTCTGTGCCAGACACTGTTCTAGGAGCTTGAGAGATGACAGGGAACAAAACTGGGGAACAGAACAGAACTGAGCCCTGGGGCTCAGAGAGCACATGTCCCAATTGAGGAAGACAGAGTATAAATAAGTAGACAAATAAATACATCACAGGTTAGGCTGTGGTTGTAAGAGCTAAGAAGAAAGATGATGCAGGGGAGAGGGAATGGAGAGTGATGGGAGAAGGTGGTCATGAAAGGGTTCTCTGAAGAAGTGACATTTGAGTAGAGCCACACAGATTTCTGGGGAAAGAATATTTCAAGGCAGAGGAAATAGTATGTGTAAAAGTTCTCAGCCCAAGGCCTGGTAGGCATTCAATATCATATTTATTATCTTATTATCATATTTATTATCTTAATTACAATGGTATGCTTTATTCAGGCTAAAATGACACACTTTTATTCCTATTTGCTGTGAGGTTCACCCTTTTTTAAAAATCTGGTATATAGATGCTGACTTTTATCTAATGCCTTATTTGCACAGGGAAGATTATTTTATATTTTTAAAATAAGAGTTTTTTAAAATTGAGATGTAATTGACATATAACATTACATTAGTTTCAGGTGTACAATATAATGATTCAATACAGTTGATCTTTGGGCAACGTGAATTTGAACTGCATGGGTCCACTTATAGGAGGATATTTTTCAATAGTAAATACCACACTACTACATGATCTGCGGTTGTTAGGATACGGAGGTTGGATTGTAAAGTTAACTTGGATTTTTAACTGCATGGAGGGTCAGTGCCCCAGCCCTGGAGTTGTTCCAGGGTCAGCTGCATTTGTACATATTGTGAGATGATCACAATAAGTCTAGTTAACCTCCATCATCATACATAGTTACAATTTTTTTCTTGTGATGAGAACTTTTAAGATCTACTCAAGTGAAAGAACAAATGCCAAAAATTCATTTAACCTATTAGTGAGGGAACCAACAGGATGACAAAGCTGAAGTATCTATAATAACTGAAATCAGAGTGCAAAATTTGATATCCTGCTTAGTATCCTACAGGGCAATAAAACTGTAGCCTTTGGGGCTTATCTTTTGCACTAGACAAATGATTTGCGATGTAGCCACCTACAAATTAACACCTGACTTCACAGAGTCTAGGCCCTAAGAGAAATAGTATTTATTCATAATAATTTAGACATTATAGAAATTATTTTAAATTATTAAACATTATAAATAAATAAATTTATAATAGAAATCACAGGTATATTTCAGTAGGGCAAGGACTGGCAAACTATGACCTGTCCCACCCCAGTAGGCTAAATCCAACCCATCACCTATTAACAGATTTCTTTACATCAATTTTCCTCATTAAGTCATGGTAGAAGATTCTTTTGAGGCCCTATTGCATTATGCTTACTAGTACTGAATTTAGGATTGTTGTATCAACATTATATGTGAAATTGGGCTATAGCTTTCTTTTCATGTGCTCTCTTTGTCAGAGTTTGAAATCGGGGTTATACTAACTTCATAAATTGGATTCTGACTGGGCTACCTTCTTCTCCATATTACACTTGTCTTATATGGCTCTAACTCCTCACTCTAGCTTACATAGTGCTTGACACATAGTAGGTGACCAGTAACTCTCTGTTGCTATGAAATGAAGCAGATTAGCTGTCAGGATATGGAGGGACTTCCATACTGACAAGAAGGATGACCTTAAACTTGATGACCTCTACATTATGATCTAATGGTTCTTGAAAACATGAAATATTTTTGCTATTTCCTCCAGACTAAATGAAAACTTGAAGAAAGTGTAATTTTCTCTAGTAGCTGCTATTTTTTATTATTTATACTATCATTTAATTTAATGATAGCAGTTTAAAAGTGTAGTATCTGGTATGGGGATATTACCTCTTCTTCTTCTTGCTCTTCTTCCTCTTCCCTTTCGTCTTCTCCTTTTCCTTCCTTTTGGGCTTCTCTCTTCTTTTTCCTGAGACTCTCAATGACTTCAGGATCCCACTGATCTCTTGTGAATATGTATCCTGTACTACTGTGCTGCCTTTGCCCCGAAATTCTTTGGCATAAATCATAGTCAGGACACTAAGGAACAACATTAGTAATTACATAAAACATTTTGAATATGCCTTTACTTCCTGTTCACATACTATGCAGTATCTAAACTCCCAAATTCCTCAAAACCCTGAGCCAATTCAATACTGTAAATGGCATTTTGAATCAGATTTTATCATATACCAAGAGAGGCACAAGATACAACTTTTCTGCTATGACAACGCTTTTCTTTACCCAACAGTAACACATGTGAGAAAGTATCAGAAGCTTTAAGACTAAAATAAAAAAAGAGGGTTAGAATAACAGTAGAAAGAGCCAGAGAAATAGAATAGAAAATCAATTTAGTCAGCAAAGGTACACAGGAGGATTCTGTCAGATTAGTTTGAAAAAGCTGAGAATGGATGAAAAAGGGGGAATAGCCACAATCTTATGACAAAAAAAATATGTCTTGTATTTATAGTATTTACTATCATTTACAGCTTTATGGATGAAGTATCTCATAAAATAGCATCAATGAATGGGACCTGAAAGGTCATCTAGTTTAGTCTAACCTTTTCATTTTGTAAATGAGAAAACTGAATCTGGATAGTAAAACAGGACAAAACCAAAGTCTATGAGTAATTTTCTCATTTCAAGTGCTTCCACGTGTGTAATATTTTACTCAATTCTTAAACTAACCCTGTAAGAGAAGTAATACAATATGATTAAAGCCATTTTGCAGACCAGAGAAGGACTGCTCTGGCAGGGTAAGGTCACAATGTCATGAGGGGAAACTACAACTCGGGACCAGGCCTTCTGATCTGTAGCCCATGCTCTGTGACACATTATTAATGATAAACTAAGGTTTTGAGCTGTAAATCCTGCTCTGAATATTTTTCACGATAAACTCTGGATGACGTTCTATAGTAGTGGTTCTCAAACATTAGAGTGTAACTGTATACAGAGGACTGTATAAAAAAGATTTCTGCTTCCCCTGTGATTTATTAAGTCTGGAGTGAGGCTCAGACATTTTAACAAACATTGTCAGTGATTCTGATGCCAACAGTTCATGGATCACACTTTTGAGAAACAGGAAGCAAGAAACTTTAGAACTTTTCGTGCTCATTTTCTGATTTCTTTAGACTACTTCTATATGGAGATGGGATGGGTATTTACTGAGGCAAGACTTTTATTTAGGGTTTCTAATTTTTTCACAAAAAAAGATCTCAACCCATTCTGGTAATTTAAAAAACCACATGTATATTTGCCCTCATTCGGCAACCCAGAATACCCACATTGTGGGTCCTTGACAAAGACTATTGTCTCCTGTTTTCACTTATAGGAAGTGATTTATTAATCTTAGGGTGAATCTGAAGGTATGCCTGGGAGCAGTGATCCTCAAACTTCAGCAGCATCCATGTGTACTGGAGGGCTTCTCAACACAGACAGCTGGATGCTACCCCAACAGTTTCTGTAGTTCTGGGGTGCTCCCTGAGAGTTTGCATTTCCAACAAGCTTCTTGAGTGCTGCTAATGCAGTTGGCTCTCGGACCAAATTCTGAGAACCACTGCTGTAGCAGATCACTGGCCCTTAATGCGTTTTTTTTGTTTGTTTGTTTTTTTAGTATACAGACCTCTTTAGAATATGATGAAAGCCATAGGCTTTTGCTTCAGAAAAATGTCCATACACATAAAATTTGCATATAGTTTCAGAACGTTCATGGATGCTTAAGGATTCATGGATCCCAGGCTAAAAACTTCTGGTCTAGAAATCCCAGACTCTATTCCCAAATAAGGCCAAACCATCAGAGAAGTGTGTGCTGTACTGAAGTTCTATCTCCCATGAGGCCCTCTGATTATGCCCCAGCTACCTGTGGAAACTGCCATGGACACCCACCATCACACAATATCAATGGGGTTAAGAACTTCATTCTCTACGTTAACAATCCTTATGTTGAGGCCCATGTAAGATATATCTCTCATTTTGTTTTTCCTGAGGAATGGCTTGTCTTTTCATGGGCAATGCGGATTTTATATAACTGGTCACATTTCCCCTTCTGCTTTGGTTCATCAAACTTAGAACCAAATTTATGACCCAAATTTAGTGAGCATTTGGAGCCTTATGGCCTGTATATCTCTGTGTTCTTATTCCACCCAGTCTTAATTTCCTATATAATCTCTGTGTTCCATGGCCTAGACTTTATATTTGGTTTCAGTTAATTGTTTGAGATTTTTTTTTCTCACTCATATGTTCACATGGGTGACATTCTGAAGGTCACACAGGGATTTTGAATGGCCTCCGGTCATGACATTGGGCTGGGGCTGCAGATGACCCCAACACCCATCACTGAATGCCACCTGTCTCTCACAGCTAGCCCAAACACACCACTGAGTCCCTGCACCTGAGCTGAGGACCATTTAATTTATTTTGAGTTGTCAAACCCTTTGGGGAATCAGGCAGAGTATTGTTATAAATGGTTATCATTCATGTTCATATAAACAAGTGGTCCTCACCTCACTGCATTCTTACCACAACCCTATGAAGCAGCTATCTTTGTATCATCTTTGTGAAGAGGAAATTGAGGCTCCTAAATGTGATTTACCATGTTCTACAGTTGGTAAAGGAGAGAAATGGGAACAGGACCAACCCATCAGTGTTCTTTAACATTCGTACATCCAAATAATTTGTTCATTCTTTCATTTTATTTAACTGGCAAACGTATTAGGTACCACTTATTGTGCTAGTTGAGGTTTACAGGAGTGAGACATGGTTCCTGCCTCCAAGTAAGGCAGAGTCTAGAAGAAAATGGACAATTACAATACAGTGAGGTAATATGATAGAAAAGAGCAACATGAATGGTCATCAGAGAAGTATTTAACTTTCCTGTAATGAAGCAGCTGTGGGGGAGAGAGAGAGGGAGAGAGAGGGAGAGAGAATGAGAATTAGTTAATGTTTGTGTTGGTGCGGAGGGGTTGGTTGTTGGGGAAAGCTCTGCAGAGATGATGCCTGAACTGGCGTTCAAAGGATAACTGTGATGAAGCCTGGTGAAGAGGCAAGGAGGTGTTTCCCGTGGATGGAGCTACAGGTGCAAAAGCACAGAGGTATGACAAAGTATAATTCAGACCCTATAACTGACGCATAAATTATTATTTTCCTAACTCCTTAAAACAATTAAGAACATTCCTTGAATTTAACTATCAAAAAGAATGGTTATATATACCATACTAGAAACACAACTAATATTCTTACCTTAATATTGATTATAATATCAGGTTTCAAATTTAAATTTCTAATTAATTCTATTTGCTGGAAAATAGTCATGGCATCCTGTGAAAGTGATGGTATTTCAGTGATAATATAGCCTGTAGAGTAAAACATAATTTTAAAAGTTTTATAATATTATCAACGTCTGAGAGCATGGATTTATTATTATTACTTTATAAAAATATCATTTAGTTATAGATGAATACTAATGCTGTTCTTAAAATCATCTGTCAACATTTGAAAATTAATAGTTAAGGTTATTGCCACATGAAGTATAACTCTGAATAATGTTTTTCTGACAATAAATAAAACCATTGGGCTAGGAGAAGACATCTTTAAAAATTCCAAATCAATTTATTTTAGGCACATGAGGTGCCTAGAGAAGGAAGTTCCATGCCAATAGTTCTTTAACTCGTGTTAGGAAAGCTCATATGATGAATGGTAAAGGTATATTTTAGTGGGTTGCATGGCATATTATTTTTATTTCTTGAATTAATATTTCATAATACAATGGAATATATATGTATATGTTTATATAAGTTACAGAGAGTAATAAAATACCCATGTAACCCTCATACATTTTAAGAAACAACATTATCAATATGATTTTGGCTTAGTACATTTATTGGCTTGCATCCCTACGCAGAAACCTATATCTTCTCGTTGAAATTCACCCTGGATACCATCATCATATTAGTTTCCTTAATATATTTCTTTAATTATGTCACTCTCTTGCTTGAGAAACCTTTCTCTTGTTAATAAATTCTTAACTCTGTTGCTGGGAATTAAAGGCCTTTGAACAATTTTTCTGCTGTTTTATAGAATATTTTTTTCTTGGAGGAACAACTGACAGACAAATTATGGTTATTAAGCTTTGATTTTTGGCAGACATTTTATAAAAACTGAATGGAGCGAGGCTGTCAAGACTGACCAGTGTCTCCTCTGGGACATGATGGCTGGCATTAACCCCTTGGTCTGACACATTGCAACTGTGGGTGCTGTGGTGAAGGGACTGCATGACTTAGCCCTAGATTGAATTCAACCTTGGATAATTCCAGAGACCAGTCAGTTCCCAGAGTTCATGCCCTCCCCTTCTAAGAAACAAGGGATTACCCAAGACCTTCCTCCCATTCCCTCTGCTGCCAGCACTGCCCACATCTGTCTATTGTAAGTGGATGACAGAAAGATGCTTGGCACTCTGTTTGCTGTGCTCTCCAGCACCCTGCCCATTACTACAACCACTGCCACTGCCCTGAGAGCTTATCAGGCATTCCAAGGGCGACTGTTTGCAGGCATGCCAAACCTTGGGTGCACATGTATATTTGAATGAGTTTCATACTTGATCTCTTCCCTGGTGGAGGCAGCAGAAGAGTGGGTTGTTTCCATGGGGTCTGGCTGTCTCCTGATAGGCCATTATTTGGGTTGCCTTAATGTTCTGAGCAATGGATTTGGGGGCTCTACCCATTGAGAGGTGGCCAGTATCGTCATATCCAGACCCTGGAAATCTGTCTATGGAAGAGTTGCGGCAGAGACAGTTACGTCGCTTGTTTACCTCACCTTTGAAGATTTACAGTGGAATGACTTAGGTCTCTGGATCCAATTCTGGGAAGATCTCAGGGGGATACTTCTTAGAGCTGCTGAGCCCACTGTCAACCTCTCTAATCACAGAGACATGTCGTGAAGATGGAAGCATAGGTGAGGATTCCACCCTCCGTCCCACTTCTCCTTGACACCATTACCAAGCCCTTGCACTCCATGCTGAAAACAGAGGATTGGTAGACCCCACGCCACTCCTTGCTGGAAGGCTCTGCATATACCATCATAGGCAGAATAGGCACTCGGCAGGCTAATGGCCAGCCTGCATCACCCCCACCAAGGGAAAACTCAAAGACTGTTCACACCACAGCCCAGGGGAAACCAACAGGCCCATACCGTCACTTTGCCCCTGCTTCCTGGCGCAGTGAGAAGAAGGAGGTATTCCCTATAGCCACAGAACTGAAGATGGTATGCTACTGCTTTTAGATTGAAGTGTTGAGAGATTCATGGACATTGGGTAGCTTAGCGTCCAGCCTGCCCTGATGGTCATCTCACCTCAGCCCAGCCTGGCATGAGTGGCCATATTGGTGACCCGTGACTTACAGTACCATCCACAATGTGCTATACCTGGGGCAGGGACTGCCCAGACCAGGGCTGTCCATCAGTCACGGAGGAAAATGATTTTTCTGCAATCTAGAAGGAGGATGCAGAGAAGGGCTTCTCAGGGTGCCCAGGAATTGACTCTGCCATTTTCTCTTGGGTGAGGATGCAGCTCATGGAAGCTGATTTTGGCTCAAGGCCAACACAGCATGACAGGTTGTGAATGAAGGGATTATAACTATAGATTGTGTAACTTTTTTTCTAAATAGTGACAGAACCTCCAAGTATAAGAGGGCTCTGGTACAGAAAAATATTAAGATTGGATCTGGCAATACTTTACTGACAGCACATTATCTGTCTTTAGGGATCTTGGAGTCATCAATTACTCAGCCTTACCCAGCCCCTGACCCAAGTTAATATCTCTATTTTGAAAGCCCTTCACTTCCAATATTGCTTCTACCATCTACCAGGCTGCTGGGTAAGAACAAACATCAGAAAGAATCCTTGCTTAGCAGAGAGTTTCAAACTGTGTTTAGCAAAGTGCTAGGTTCCAAAGAAATTCCTTTGGGACTGCTGTAGTACAGGTGAGGGGAGGCTGGGCAGAAGGGGCTCAAGGTCCTGCCTTCACTGTAGCCTTTAAATGAGCCCAGTTGTGCATGACTAGACCATGGCCATGCACTTGCATGCTGATAATGTGGCCCTCAGACTCAAGAAATCATTTATAGGGACTTCCCTGGTGGCACAGTGGTTAAGAATATGCCTGCCAACGCAGGGGACATGGGTTTGAGCCCTGATCTGGGAAGATCCTACATGCCACGGAGCAACTAAGCCCATGAGCCACAACTACTGAGCCTGTGCTCTAGAGCCCGCAAGCCACAACTACTGAAGCCCGCGTGCCTAGAGCCCGTGCTCCGCAACAAGAAAAGCCACTGCAATGAGAAGCCCGCGCACCGCAATGAAGAGTAGCCCCCGCTCGCTGCAACTAAAGAAAGCCCGCGTGCAGCAACAAAGACCTAATGCAGCCAAAAATAAATAAATAAATTTATATTAAAGAAATCATTTATAGCACTCTTCCTCTGCAAGCTCTCAGGATAAGTACCAGTGCACAGGAAGTCTAGGGGAAAGAGGAATACATTAAATGACAGCAGGAGGTGCAATCAGCAAACTCCAGAAGGTAGGAAACTCTAAAAGACAAACAACCAGTTTTTTCAGCATAGAAAACACAAGATAACGTAAAAAGGTAGGGGCAACTTACAGATTAAAAGGGACTTGTGACATACTGATCAGTAGCAATATGTGAAACCTGGTTGGTTGGATCCTGCTTCCAAAATCAAACAGACAAACAAACAAAAAAACACCAACTAGAAAAAAAATATGAGGCACATAGTGAAATTTGACAATAGACTGATTAGTAGATGATTTATTATTAATTTTTTAGGTATGATAATGGTAATGTGATAAGGTTTAAAAGAGTCCTTATCTTTCTGAGATACAGACTAAAACATTTACAGAAGAACTGATATGATATGGATTAGCTTCAAAATAAAGTAGGTTGGGGGGGAATGTATGCAGAGGCACAGATGAAATAAGATGAAACAACAGTTGTCATTGTTGAAGCTAGGTTTTTGACACATGGGGGGATTTTATATCATTCTCTACTTTTGCTTGAAATTTTCTGTAATAAGAAGTTAAAAGGGTTATGAACACTGTGAATGGCATAGCTGAGTAGATTTATTTTTCTCATGTTTTTTGCTTTCTCTTTTTGCCAATACTTATAATTTTTGCCATTTTTTTGTTGCCATGTAAGTCACTCTAAATTTTCTCAAGAGGTAGTGTGAGGTAAAGAATAAACAAAAAGGGCCTTCCCTGGTGGCACGGTGGTTGGGAGTCCGCCTGCCGATGCAGGGGACGCGGGTTCGTGCCCCGGTCCGGGAGGATCCCGCATGCCGCGGAGCGGCTGGGCCCGTGGGCCATGGCCGCTGGGTCTGCGCGTCCGGAGCCTGTGCTCCGCAACGGGAGGGGCCGCGACAGTGAGAGGCCCGCGTAACCCCGCAAAAAAAAAAAAAAAAAAAGGATAAACAAAAAGATATTTGCCTGTCTACCTTTACATATGCATTTTCAGTTTCAATCATTATACTTTTTGAGGTCGTTTATTGACCTATGTTGGAATTCCGTGATTGTCCTTTTTACCTTTTTATTCATTTTACTTCCCACATTCTGGGTGTTTTTCCCAAGTTCATCCTCTTTATTACTGATCAGTAGATAGATGAATGGATAGATAGCATATTTATATGAAATAAAGGAGATGATATCTGGATATATATCTATATATGTATGAATATAGTTCAATCTGTACATAATCTATATATATATCTTTCTATCTATAGACATAGATAATATACATATATATATATGGTCTTCAGTGACAAGTCTGCTGTTGCTATTTCCACTATTGATTTTCATTGTACTGCACTTTATTTGTATTCCTGTATTCTTAATAGTGACAATGTCCTCTCTTAATTTACTGAGAATATAAAGCAGATCTCTAAATTTTTCTTCTCTCATTCAATAAATCCATTTCAGGTGGATGATTTTCTCCCAAACACATTGTGATTCTTCTTCCTTCTTTTGCAAATGCCATACTTTTTAGTCATTCCGAACTTCAGTAGTCTTTCTTGAGAAATTAGATCCAAAGCCCCTACTCAGCATCCGTTTGAGGGCAGGGAGATTTCTCGGGTCCAGAGTCAGAGGGTAGACTGGATGAACAGGCTACAGCCTGCCAATATCTGGAGCCAGAGGGTTAGCTGCTGTCATTCTAGTTCCCATTTCCAGCCTTATTAGTGTGGATTAATGCAGAGAAACCTAATCATTGTCAGGACTTAGTAATAAAACTCAGGGTGAATAGGAAAGCAATCAGCAGAGGCTGTCAGCACTGCATCAAGGACCACAGCAGATTTTTCATGCTTTTGCTGGATAACACATTACTAAAAGAAGATTGAATCATATAAACTTAAAATTTGAAAACAAATGTAGATTCTGAAGAATAAAAACAAGTGAACAAGCAAATAAAACTATTGGAGTTGCTCAACTGAATTCGGACTCTGGGATTCCTTTCCTATGCCAGGGCAAAAAAAAAAAAAAAATGCAATTTCAGGAATTACTTGTGTCTCAGATAAACCACGAGTTCTAAGGCTGCATTGATAGCCACTGCTGTATAAAAATAAGCATACCAAAGTGAGAGACTTCTGGGGAGTTGAGCTTCTCCAACATTAGCTTTGTGACAAGTTCATCTGGAATGCTTTGGCCACTGATCAGCATCGACTGCAACTAAGAACAAACACAGATATTGTACATGATTGTATAATGTACCTGTGACACACAGCTTTTAAGGAAATCGTAACAATTTTGAAAGTTAGATTTGTTTACCATAGCTCCTGATTCAGTGTCACTGGCAATCTGTTCTTCCAAAATTGGTAAAGCTAAAATATGAATTCAAAATAATAGCACAAATTGTTATTAGAATTTCCAAGTTAAGAAACATATTTGTGTGTTTTTTAACTAGTAACAAAGATTAATATTTGTGTCACTTTAGAGTTTACAAAGCACATTTATACACATTATGTCATTTAAGCCTAACTAAAGTATAAGGTAGCAGAATGTATTCCACAGAAAACTTGTCTCTGACACTCACTAGCTAAAGGATCTTGGGGAAACTAACTTCCCAAACACCTTTGCACCTTGCATGCTTGGGCCCTGTGTAGTATGCAAGGGGATACGAGGATGAAATGAGGTTGTATATGACAGTGATTTGGAAATTACAAAGTATCATACAAAGTATACAGTAGTATTACCAGTCCAGATACTTTTATAATCATATGTAGTTACATCTACGGCCCATTAATTTTGCACATTGATTGTATAAAAGGAAAATATGCATCAAGAAATGTTAAAAATAGATGAGCACTGAAATTTATCTAGCAAAAAGGGGTCCTGAGGCTGAAATCCTAATAACTTGGTTCCTTTTTAAAAGGAGATATTTCATTCCATGATGGAAGATATCCTGGGACAGAAATGACAGGGGTATAACTTAGGGGAGGACCCAGGAGCTGATTATGTCCCTAGTTGCTAATAATCTATGGAAAGTTTGGTACTTTTTAAGATTTCCTACAAGTGAATTTTATTTTGATAAAAAAAGGGGAAATTTTGAAAGTTGTGTGTGTGTGTGTGTGTGTGTGTCTGTTACGTGTTGCAGAATTGTTCTCTCCCCCAAGTTGTACCAGATCACAATATCACTAATGGCATGTGAAATGCTCATTTGATAACATTCTTGCCAACAATGATGGTAGAAACTTTAAAGATTCACTGCCAATTTATTAGGCAAATATAGATCAGCATTATTTTAATTAGCATTTCTTTGAGTAACAGTGAAGTTAAACTCTTTTCTTATATTTGTCCATTTTTATTTCCACTTTTATGAATTACAGATTCACTCTTTTGCTTATTTTTCTATTAAGGCATAAATGGTTTATTGATTAAAAGAATATTTATATACAAAGACATCAACCCCTGTCATATATATTGCAAAGAATGCAAAGCAAATTATAAATAATAATAAAAAAATTTATCATTGAAGATAATTAAGTCCTGGAAAATCTCCCCAAGAGCAGCTATGAGAGTTCCATCTCTTTTCATATTTCACAGGGAGACACCCAAAACACACATATCCCCAATAGTTCTAAATTACAGAATTAGAGAATGGGAAGCAGTAGAATGGAGTCAAAGATGTTTCATAAACGTCCTAAATTCTATGACCAAAACTAAGACTAACAGAACGGCAAAACATGTTTGATGCTATTGTAAAGATAATGTTCACTGGGTTGATAGTGATGTGTGACAAAGCAAATATAGCAAATGTTAATCATAGACTGTAATAGATAGTAAGTAGATGGGCATATGGGTGTTCACTGTACAATGCTTTACATTTTAATGCATATTTGAAAGTTTTCATAATAAAATATTTGGGAAAAAAGATAAAATTTACCTTCTACACGAATACACTTCCATGCCTGTGTTATCTGTTGGGCTAATGTTGTCTTACCAACCCCCTTAAAAAGAAAGATATTATTTAAAACCCAATAGAATAGCTATTTGCCAATAAAACAGATATTTTTAAAGATTCTATTGATGGTTACTATAATTACATAATATTATCAAGTAAAAATTTTTTCCATACAATAAATAAAGAATGGACCCTAGATATTTATAGCTTCATTTTTCTCTATTAACTGTCCCGTTTGCCACATTTTATGAAGTGATTTTTTTTTTAAATTAAGAAAATAGCCCTGAAAGCAGGAAGCTGTACCATAATGGTATACTAGGTATTGCACTCTTCTGATTGTTAAATTTTGTAATTTTGAGTACAAATCATTTTGATTATATTGAGATTCATCATTTTATTTCCTGCCTAAAGCTTATTATAATTGTGAATGTCTTGACAGACGTCCATTTAGTAACTTTCAAGAGCAAAAATTCCTTCTTAATGGACATCTTTGAAAAGTATCATAGTTTAAAGATAGAAGTTCACTTTAATGAAGGAACACTTGCATCTGATTGCTTCCACTGTTGACTTTTAAAATTCTATTGTTTTTAGAAACATAATAGAAGTTATTGGAACCATTTCTTGACTCTGTTCCAGGGTCTCTAGAAAATCAAGTCAGCCCTTAGACTCTGCTATTCCGGAGAGGCTTTTATATTAACCACCTTAGGCCCTCTAATGGTAACTACCAACAAAGCTCAGAGGCTGAAAAAAGCTCTCATCTAGAGGTCCTTCCTAGAACTGCCTAGGAAGGCGAGCTATCTTACGACAGCCATTCTTGGTTTCTTCCTGTTTTGCAGAAAGATAATACATAGGTCCACTAACACACTGTGGGTAAAGATGAAGCACATCCCCTCTCAGGAGCTTTAGACACTGATGAGAGTATCCTCCATTTGTCTCTTTAGTGTCCTGTCTTCACATATCCAGAGAGCCTCACAACAAATTTCACAGAAAGTTTTATATGGATATTGAGTGTGAAATAACCTTGGATCACATACTACTAACAATTGTCATGGCGCAGTGCTTTGATGAGTTAATTTATTCATAATATAAAAGCAAATATAAATACAATCTAGGTTCCTTTTCAATAATAGTGTACAAGAGGAGAGAAAGTTATAATTTACAACCAATACTATATCAGAGTTTGTCATACAGTGAAAGTCTAACAAACACTCAAAAAAAAATTAGCACACGATGTGGTTTTCAATCTTGTATGGTAACATGAGATTATGACTTTAAAAATTAAAAAATATATTAAATAATAAGTTAGAAGAGATAACTTACTGGTTTCCCAAATACAACAAAGCAAACAGGTTTAGACAACATAAAGTTTTTGTCAGCTTCATCTTCATTAAATATATCCACAAAAGGATGCTCTTCTGTCTTCTCTTGAGAAGTCATAATACAAAATACTACAGTAAGAAGAGTAAGATTGTTAAAGTGCCTAATTTAGGAGGAATGGGCAGGCAGGTTAGGGAGAACTAGAATATTCTGTGAATTTACTTAGCCCAGAAGCCGTTCCATGCCACTAAGAGATGGATTTTGCCAATAATGGCAAATAAGTTAAACTGATCTATTAAAACAATAATAGGTTCATAGTTTGAGACAGAAAGCAAAAGCCAGCTATATGCTATATAAGACAGCTAAAATAAAGTATCTTTGAAAGACTAAATTAAGGAAAAAATACATACACATATATATTCACATGTATGTTTTGATGTGTGTATTCTATTAAAGATCAAAGTGTACACACAACCAGCCAAACAAAAACCCAATAGCAAATGCTTTAAAAAATCAAACTAAATATGTTATATGTGTATACACATATAAATTAGTCAATGGGTATGTGTGTAGGGCCTACTAATGGCTCTAATTAGAAATCCTAATGGAAATGAGAAAATACGTAGAACTGAAAAATAAAAAACATAATATATATCAAAATATATAAGCTCACAATTTAAGAAGTTAGAAAAAGAAAAATAGATTTTAAAATTAATAAAATAGAAAAACATTATATAAAGAAGGGCAACAAAGCTAAATAGTGGTATTTTGAAGAGATTTACAAATAGAAAACTCTGTCAAGATTGATCAAGAACAGAAGATAGAAGGCACAATTAAATAATATTAAACATTGGTTTTTTAGAGGTGTGTTTTCTCACATCTCAAAACTAAGATTTTCCTACGTTTTCGTTGTTGTTGATTTCTTTCATTAATCAGAGACTGTTCTCCATATTACATTAATTCTTTGAAATTTGTTGAGTCTTGCCTTATGGCCTACCCCATGGTAATTTTCAAAAAAATTGTCTACATCTAGTTTGTGAATTTTATTGGTTAAATCTTCCATAATGCTTACTGATTTACTGTCTACTTGATCAAACAATATTAGACATAGGAGGAAGGACCACAGAGAAAATAATGCTGTAGATATATAGATAATAAGAGGCTATCATAAAGTTATCCCAAATAAATTTGAAAACTTAGGCAAAATTGACAAATTACTAGAAAAATCAGCTTCTTAAGAAACAGAGAAAACTTGAGTGGTTCTATAACCACTGAGGAAACTGAATCAGTAACTAAAAATCTTCCCATAAGGAAACCAGATGGTTTTATTGAAGTGCTCCAAGTCTTGCAATCTTATAAACACTCCTTCAGAAAAAGGATAAAGTGGAGACTTCTTACTTAATTTATGGCTCTCATATAACCTCCATACCTATACCAGAGAATAGTCCAAAAAAGCAAAATTATATGCCAACTTCATTCATGAACAAGATTTTTTTTTTTTTTTTTGCGTTATGTGGGCCTCTCACTGTGGTGGCCTCTCCCGTTGCAGAGCACAGGCTCCGGACACGCAGGCTCAGCGGCCATGGCTCACGGGCCCAGCCGCTCTGCGGCATGTGGGATCTTCCCGGACTGGGGCACGAACCCGTGTCCCCTGCATCGGCAGGCGGACTCTCAACCACTGCGCCACCAGGGAAGCGCCCCATGAATAAGATTTTTAAAAATCCTAATCAAAGTATTAGCAAGTTGAATCTAGCAATATATGAAGAAGATAATAACATCATGGCCAAGTTGGGCTTCCCCAGGAATTCAAGGATGGTTAGTATGAGAAAATTAATTTATCATATTAAAATAAATTTAAGGAGAAAAACTATATGATTATCTTAATAGATGTAGAAATAGTATGAGACAATTCAACACCCTTTAATGTTGAATAAAAGATAAACCTCTTAGCAACTAAGAATAGAAGGGAACTTCTTTTATTGATAAAGGGTATGAATGAAAGACACCCTTATATTTAATGATTAAATATTTAAAATGTTCTTTTTAAGACAAAAGAAAGAAAAGTGTAATTATTCCCAGTTGATATGACTGTCTACATAGAAAATCCAAATATGTCACAGATAAATTTTAAGAATAAAATAATCCAATTTGCTGAATTCAAAACCATTATACAAAATTCAGTTGCATTTCTATATATCAAAAATAGCTAGAACATGTAACCAAATATAAATATGACTTAGCAGCAAAAATATAAAATAAACAGGATTAAATAGTACAAAAGATATACAAGCCCTTTATGGAAAAGTTACAAAACCTTATGAAAATACTTTAATGAATAGACTTGAAAAATGAAACAAAACTTTGTCCCAGTGGTCTGCGACATTGTTCACAGAACAATGAAAAATGGATTGGAGGGGGCTATATACTTCCAGGTAAATGCGATATGATTACATTTCTCTGTGGAAGTTAAGAATATTCAAATGGGCTTAATATACCAATATTATTTTAAGATGACAATATGAAATAAGATGTAGTAAGAAGTATTACTAGTATATTAAAAAGATTTGAGATGAAAACTTCAGGAACTAAAGGGCTGAAATTCCAAGTTTTTAAAAAATACCATCAAAATAAGTAATGCTAGTATAAAATGTAGTTGTAAAGGAGAAAATGCATCTAAACCTCTTAGATCATGCATTTATTAAGGAGTCTCCGTAAAGCACACTAAAACCAGAGCGATAAAGCCTGGGATGGGGATATCTAGTTGGATGTCTAAGTACCTTGAGTTTTGAACCCCAAGATTACTCCCAAATGCTCTGTATTAACAGAAGTAGCCTTCTCATTTATGGAAGAGAGCAGCCTCTCCATGCCTCACCTGAGGCAGATGCCTCAGAAGACAATGCTCGACTTTTACAAGCTTATTTCCCCTCATAGCTTCTAGAGCAGTAACTGGGGTCAAGTGTCAGCCCAGCCCAACTGGGGAGGCACTGGACAGGAAGAAAGGTGTTATGCACCTAAAGAGCTCCAGGGCCTGGCTATGAGTGTACCAACAGGAACCAGGAGAACACGCCTGGGAAAGATCTTGAGGGTGTCAGGTGAGGGGAATGCAGACTGGATAGGAGTTTATTGATGGTGGGCTGTCTCGCACGACTCATAGTTTAACATCCTAGCTAGGACACCTGGAGCAAGTCCTAATTCACTGCTGGTAAGGTTACTTGAAGCTTGGAAAAAAACAATGAGGTGTAAATGCCAGAACTGCCTTGACAGGGCACAGAGGCAGGTGTTAAATACTCACAGAAGTGGCATGTTAAGTGGATTTATTATGTCAGGCCAGAGAACCATCAGCCTACTCTGCTCTTTGGGATGGACAGAGGGCACTCTTTTCATTAAGATATTAAGGAATGAGCTAGTAAGGGAGCACTGGCATCACTACAAAGCTCAGTGATGGCTGTCCTTTTTTGGGCCAGCATTTAAAGTAAGGGAGAGGGTTTCCCTGGTGGTGCAGTGGTTGAGAGTCTGCCTGCCGATGCAGGGGACATGGGTTCCTGCCCTGGTCCAGGAAGATCCCACATGCCGCGGAGCGGCTGGGCCTGTGAGCCATGGCCGCTGAGCCTGCGCCTCCGGAGCCTGTGCTCCGCAATGGGAGAGGCCACAACAGTGAGAGGCCCGCATACCGCAAAAAAATAAAATAAAATAAAATAAAAAATAAATAAAATAAAGTAAGGGAGAGGCCGCTATGATACTGAGTTCTCATGTGTCAGTGGGGATGACAGAGTCTGGAAGAGCAGAGGCCAGGTGGCAGCCCTTAACTGTGAGAAACAAAGTAGGTATAATTACTATAATGGGCAGCAAGCCCAGAATGGCCACAAGCAAGACCCACAGAGATCTGCGGTGATAGTGATAAACCATGGGCTCCCTAGGGGTGAGACAGATGAGCAGTCGATGAAAGTGTTGATTAACTTACATTTCTAAAAACGAAAAAGGGTAAGTGAACCAAAGGCTGATGTCAGCAGCCACAGTGGAAGTCATGATTCCTTCTTCATGATTCCAGAGCCCATTGACTGAAGGGACGGCAAGGAGTCCTCAAGGATCTAGCCTACAACTCCATAGCAAGTATTTATAATAGGGATTCCCCAATCCTTCCCCAAGAGAACCTACAACAATTAACCAGAGAAATAGACACTGTGGAAATAGGAATATTCTCCTCTTTGAACAGTTATAGGACACAGGGTCTCAGCTGACATCAATACCAGCAGATCCAAAATGCCATCATAGCCTCGTATTAGAGCGAGGGCAAATGGAGAACGAGTGATAAATGGAGCCTTGGCTCAAGTCTGTCTTACAGTGCATCCAAAGGGTCTGAAGGATCACTCGGTGGTTATTTTCCTGGGCCTTGAGTGCATAACAGGGATTGCAGCTGGAAAAACCTTCACAGGGATTCCCTAACTGTGGAATAAGGGCCACTGTGGTTGAAAAGGCCAAGTGGAAGCTCATGAAACTGCACACCTGCTCCTTAGCCTCTGCCTTAGATAGGCAATAGTAAATCATCCTGAATGAAATGGAAGAGTGCTATCCCAAAACTATTTAAAAGATGCATTGTCCTGTTTAATTCTCTAGTCTGAGTTTCTGCAAAAACCAGATCATGACAGATGATATTGGACCATTGTAAACGTAACTAGGGGCAGCTCCAACTGCAACTGCTGTGCAGAGAACTTTACTAGACGGACACAGCTTCTTATACTTGATATATAGCTACTCAGCTGGAAAATGCATTTTTTTTTCAATACACATCAAGGAGGAGGATCAGAAGCAGTCTGTATTTACTTAGAACAGTCAGCAATGGACATTTAGTCTTACCCCGGGACTCTCCTGCTCTTTGTAACAAATATAGTACAAAGGGGTCTTGTTGATCCACAATATTGACAATATCAGACCTGGTGAGTGGGAAGAAGCAAGTGTTCTGATAAGACGTATGGGCAGCAGAAAATGGGAAATAAACCTACAAAGATTCGAGGACCTGTTATATTGGTGAAGTTTTAAAGGGCCAGTGGTCTGGGACATTCTGAGACATTCTCTCCAAGGTAAAGGACAAGTTAGTGTACCTTACACCTTCTATCTCTAAAAAAGAGGTGCAATATTTTGTAAGTCTCTTTAGTTTTTGGAGACAGCATGTAGCACATTTGGGAATACTGCTCTGATCCATTTAAGGGGTGACTTGGAAAGCTGTCAGTTTTGAGTAGGGCCGAGAGCAAGAGAGAGCTCTGCAGCAGTTTCAGGCTATGGTGCCGACGCCTTGCTTCATGGGCCATATACCTGGCCAGATCCCACGATGCTAGAGGTAGCTGTGCTGGGTAGGATACCTTTTGGAATCTTAGAATGCCTGGCCATGGGACTTCACACGAAAGTGCCCATCGTGAGCTGGGTACATCAGGCAATCAAGTCCTCAAGTTGGGCAGGCACAGCAGTAATCCACTGAATGAGAAAAATGGAACACTGGGATCAGGCCAAATACATTTCATAAGCAAGCAGCCTAGACACCCCCATGTTACCTATCTCTGGTTCACCAATGTCCCTTGGCTCATACCTCATATGGAATTCCCTGGGAACAGCTGATAAAAAAACGAAAACAAAGATCATGGATGAATCACGATATATTGGTGCAAGCTGTAAACGGAATGCTTTCAGACTTTAGTCCCATTCAGGTGTAGCCCTGAGAGATGGTGATTAGGGGAAATCCTCCTGGTGGGTAGGGCTTTAAGCAGTATTCCTAGGTCCTCAATTTGGAGAACAGTGCTGAATGGCTTGGTGCAGGGCCTGGAAGGAGCAAGACTGGATGATAAGAGAAGAGCTCTGGGGAAGAAGCATGTGAATGGAGCTATGAGAGTGGTGTAACAAACATGATATATGGTGATCCCCAATGAGTCACACCCTTGTATAAGGAGTTATGGCACTGGCAGGTGGAGGTAGCTGCTGCTGCATAATTGGGGGCAGGGAGATATCTGTATTTTTGATAAATGGATCTATCTTCCTTTTCTTTTAGAAACTGGGACCACACACCGCCTTGAAGAACCAGTGACAAGGTGCTGGAAATTTAATGTGTGGGGAGGGGAGTGACTATGAGTGGCACAAAGAGTGGAACGTAGCAGATGTTATTCGTGCCCTGCCCCTATCCACTTGATTTGTGCCTTTTCCAGGGATGGCCAGCCCAACTTCCAAGGGCTGGCATGTGTGATTCTTTGTCTAAGGACTGTTTGTCTAAGGACTCTTTCTAGCTGCCAGAACTTATTCTGCCTGAGCACAGGGCAGACTAGAAGTTACAGGGAATTAATGTTCTGCCATAGCAGCCCTCAACCAATAACTGATGGGAGTTGGTGAATAAATACCCCAGCTCCCTTTCCCCTTACAAGGAATAACTGGGACAGACATCCAAGCATTCCCCAGTGAATTCAGCCCACAGAGAAATTTGCTTGATAATATTCCCTTCATTAGCTTC